ATGTCAATCCCTCCTTAGCATCTGAAATCAGAATCATTTTCTGCTTACATGACTCTGGGAGCTTTGTGGAGAATACCGTCTGTTTTATGTCTTGTTTTGGTAGCTCTTGAGTTATTCAGGTTATATTTCTGCTTTGTCATCTAGGTTATTAGGGTTGTATTTCTGCTTTGTCCTTGAGGCCAAGTCTGAAAATTATTCCTCACCATGCCCCTCCTGTGAAAGCTGTTTCCCCCCTCTTGTATTATATTCCATCCTCAGTGCCTTAGCCGAAAACAGCGCAATCCTAACCATGTCTACTCAGAAGTAAGTCCTATTGAAGTCAATGGAACTTACTTCCAGGTAAAGTTGGGTTCAGATTGCAGCCTGAGAACCAACCCCAAAGTATCAGCAGTTTTGTTTAGCTAAATCAGTATTTTTGAAGTCAGACCTCTTAAAGATTCTTTCAGTTCCCTGAGTCCAAAAACCTTAATGATTTGTACTTCCGTTAACATTGGCAAGTTCGTTGTGTCCCCCGCCCCCCACTTAGGAATAACGTTTAAAATTAAAAATTGCTTTCCTCAGGGCCTTATGATTCTTGCACACAATATCTGAAGAGCTTTCCTGCCCAATAATTTTACCTCCGCTTTCTCCTTATGGATTTTGAGGCAGTATTATCACAAATCAAATAGTCAAAATACATTATTATCAAGTATACAGTATAATCAGTTTCCTCTGTTCTCTGTGTTGTTTAAACATGGTTATTGTTCTATGACCTTCGTCTATACGGACAGTGCTCCAGCTTAAACAATTCTTGCTTGTACTGCGTGACATGTACTTCTTGCCTTCAGGTAATATGCTTTCCCCAAAAAATTATGCCATCAAAGGGAATTCAGGCTTTCCAGCGGTAGATCCCCCTTTCCCAACACAACCGATATGGAAGCTGACGCCATAGACACACACACAAACACAATAAAAACTTTCCTAATTCCAGCTACGTAAACGAAACGCCCTGTTCTTTTCCCAGAGGAAATTCTGGTTTTCACAGTTCAGGTTGCGGAAAAATACATTCCACCAAAAGTGATTCCACATTCCCCACTTCGAATTGCACACAGAAACAGGCCTACGGGGTAGCTCAGGTATTCCTCGGGTCCGTTGCACTTTCCCTCGGATAGTAATTCCAGTTTTACACCTTCTATACTGCTCTATTCGGAGGATAGTCTCCCACCTTCCTATAATCTCATCTCATGCACAGGCCTCAGGCACAGTTCGCAATCGCACATGGTGTCATCACGGAGGCATGCGCCAAAGTCAGATTGTATATGAGGTCCCCACCCAGTCTGAAATGGAGAGGTTGGGTGGGGAGTTGGTTGGGTGACAGCAGGTGAGGTCTGACAGAAGGCACACTGAGAGTTGGTGGGAACAATAACGGACTGGCATAACAAGCTACAAGAATTTGCTGAAATGGCGCAGTTGACAAATAGCCTGAGAGGCAATTCAAAATAAAAATTTATGGGAAAGTGGGATAGATATAAGATATATGTTCAAAAATACAGTAAAGGTTCGCTGTCTATGCTAGCATTTGATTGACGTTGGAGAGAGACTGAGTTGAGAAATAAGACCAAGGGTACATATTGATATAGGAATGTATTCGATAAAATGTAAAGAAATGTACAACAATAAGGGTACATTCATTTGTAAAAAAGGAATATACAACGGGATAGACAGGAAGTCCAAAGTGTTGGTACATACAGTGGTACCTCGGGTTACATACGCTTCAGGTTACAGATGCTTCAGGTAACAGACTCCGCTAACCCAGAAATAGTACCTCGGGTTAAGAACTTTGCTTCAGGATGAGAACAGAAATCGTGCTTTGGTGGCGCAGTGGCAGCAGGAGGCCCCATTAGCTAAAGTGGTGCTTCAGGTTAAGAACAGTTTCAGGTTAAGAACGGACCTCCGGAACGAATTAAGTACTTAACCCAAGAATGGATACTTTTGAATTATGGTGCTGGAGGAGACTCTTGAGAGTCCCATGGACTGCAAGAAGATCAAACCCATCCATTCTTAAGGAAATCAGCCCTGAGTGCTCACTGGAAGGACAGATCCTGAAGCTGAGGCTCCAATACTTTGGCCACCTCATGAGAAAAGAAGACTCCCTGGAAAAGACCCTGATGTTGGGAAAGATGGAGGGCACAAGGAGAAGGGGACGACAGAGGACGAGATGGTTGGACAGTGTTCTCGAAGCTACCAGCATGAGTTTGACCAAACTGCGGGAGGCAGTGGAAGACAGGAGTGCCTGGCGTGCTCTGGTCCACGGGGTCACAAAGAGTTGGACATGACTAAACGACTAAACAACAACAACAAGCCTTGACACCTCTTCCTCCAAGTCTTCTCTCATTCACCACTCATCATTGTTCCACCACCACTGGCCAGGCTCTGAGCCTTCTTGCCTTGGGGGTTCCCCAGTTGGTTCCTCTGCGTCCAACCAGTCCATGACATTCCACCGGCGGTTACATACTAGACTGGAACATTTTAGAATAGCCTTGGGTGGTGTAATAAATGAAAATCTGCCCTTATTCCCTTATGGGGGACACAAGAGCCCTTACAGAGTCCTTTGCAGGTTCTCCATCGTTCAGAGAAACTAACAGAGGCCAACCAGAGAATATTGAGAAGCAAAGCAGCTAGTAAGCCTGATCTTTATTGATCTGTTGCAACAGGGTGCTCCCCTCACACGCAGGAGGAGGAGGACTCTGAACCAAGGTATGCCCGCCCTTATATAAACATTTTAAATTGCCCACCCTGGAGTCCAAGACCACCCCCCAGAAACATCATACCTACATCACAGAAGGGGTGTAGCTCAAGACCACCCCCCAGACAAATCATACCTACATCACAGAAGGGGCAGTCTACAACAGAAATCTGAGTGCGTTGCTTCCCTCCTGTCTGGCAGGTTACCTATTAATGCTTACTTGATTGGATACCCTGGGGAGCATAGCCAGTCTTTTGTAATGATAAATACTTAGTTCCTGAGCCAGGTCACAGGCTCACCCTATTCATACACAGACATACCCTTAAGACAGGATTTGTGAAGGAAAAGACAATGGGGAGGCTTTTCCATTTTCCTTGACCTTGCAGAGAAATCATTTGGTCAGTTTGGGAGTCAAAATGGTTTCAGGGCTGTTTTCCTGTGCTGCTTCAGACATGTGGTTTATATATTTATGTACATGTTGCTTGGTACATTTATGAACATTTATTATATATATATAAAATGGTCAGGACCCCTGACCATTAGGTCCAGTCGTGGCCGACTCTGGGGTTGCAGCGCTCATCTCGCTTTACTGGCTAAGGGAGCCGGCATACAGTTTCCGGGTCATGTGGCCAGCATGACTAAGCTGCTTCTGGCAAACCAGAGCAGCACACGGAAACGCCGTTTACCTTCCCGCCGGAGCGGTACCTATTTATCTACTTGTACTTTGATGTGCTTTCAAACTGCTAGGTTGGCAGGAGCAGGGACTGAGCAACGGGAACTCACCCCGTGACGGGGATTCGAACTGCCGACCTTCTGATCAGCAAGTCCTAGGCATCCCCATATATATATATATATATATATATATATATATATATATATAGCGCCTAGGTCATATATATATATATATATATATACGACCTTAAGGGACGCGGGTGGCGCTGTGGGTAAAACCTCAGCGCCTAGGATTTGCCGATCGCATGGTCGGCGGTACGAATCCCCATGGCGGGGTGAGCTCCCATCGTTCGGTCCCAGCTCCTGCCCACCTAGCAGTTCGAAAGCACGTCAAAGTGCAAGTAGATAAATAGGTACCGCTCCAGCCGGAAGGTAAACGGCGTTTCCGTGTGCTGCTCTGGTGCCGGTTCGCCAGAGCAGCTTCATCACGCTGGCCACGTGACCCGGAAGTGTCTGCGGACAGCGCTGGCTCCCGGCCTCTAGAGTGAGATGAGCGCACAACCCTAGAGTCTGTCAAGACTGGCCCGTACGGGCAGGGGTACCTTTACCTTTTTATACGACCTTAAATTTTTTATTTCATTGGATATCCGGGTTGCAGCATAAGTGACGGCCCCAAGAGCGGTTTGCAATGTTGTGTTCTTGGCTATGAGGACTCAATGGGATGCCATGTACCCCCACCCCACACGAGAGCAATAGTTTCTCATGTATGCGTCAGATGCCACTCGGAAAATTGGCCCGTAGATCACACCCCAGGGGCTAAAACCCTCTTGGGCTTCTGAAACGAAGCGAATTCATATGGGAAAACGCTTCAGCAAAAGGAACGCCAGCCGATAACATCCTGCAAGCCAGTAGAGGGGTTCTCACAACACGCCCTTCAGTGTGCATCGCAGTCACATGCCCCCCACACGCATGTGCTGTGAGCCGTTTCAGATGCCATGTGGACAACAGGACACAGGGCTGGGTTGTGCAGTCCCATCACCACCAAATTTATTATAAAATTTATCAGCCACCCTGCACCTGCAGGTCCCAGGTGAGGTCGCAACAACATACCGTAAATCCAGAATGAAAAACAGGTTGTGCTACATCCACCATACACAATCATCTCTAAAAAAAGGGAACAACCTTCATTGACGGCAAGCAGCCATTACAAGCACAGAAAACCAGTAGTCAAACAGGGATAATCCTTACTCAACAAAGACCTAGCTTTCAGTGACAAACCTCCACTTTGGACTACACCACTTCATAGAATCAAACTAACAGAATTGTCAACTCTTGTTTTAACTGTCTTAAAGTTTTATATTATGGGGAATTTTGCCTCCATAACTTTATTTTCTTTTTCTTTTCTTTTTTTGGCAAGCAAGCAGCTTTAAGTTGTTGTTTACACACACACACAGAATCACGGGGCACACATATACTGTAGATGATGAAAAATGCATTCGAAATCCCACCTGTCAGGGAGGGAAGGTATACTTTGGGCTGATTCCTGAGGTTCTACTTTTCTACGTGCAGGGAATCATCCCTGCAACGGGTGGGGGGGGGTACCATGCAAGTCACGTGGCACACTCGCCCCCTCCGTACCTGGAGCCTAAGGTGGTGCAGCCCAGGTGCAAATTAACCACCTGGGCGAGAATCCAAGCCGTTGACCTGAGTGTCAAGGTACGAACTGCACCCGATCCGGGGCGAGATAAGCCAAGCGGAGCCTTGAGCACCTTGACTCTTGCTCTGAGCGCTGCAAGGCAAAACCGAAAGCGGCCAAGCCCACTCTCGGAGGCCTGGACCGGGAAGCTCCGCCTTGAAGATGAGAGAGGAGGGACGAACAACACCCCAAAGCGCTTACCTTTCCGGAAGGGCATCGCTGCAGATGATGCTTTAGCCCCCCTCTTGCAGAAAGTTAGGCGCGGGCAAAGCGGCTGGTTCTCTAACTGCAGGGTCTCGCTTATCCCGGGGCTTCCAGCTCTCTCTGCCTCGGTGCCTGGAAATTGGTGCAATCAGGAAGGAAACGGACAAATTTGGTCAATTCCTCTCGGCAGCGTCACCACCTTCGATTTGCAAAAGGAGGAAGCCGGGTTTGCAGGATGCAGCCCGCAGAGCGCCGCTTAACCCTTCGCCTCCCAGCCCTGCAGTTTGCTGAGATGCAAAGCCGGCCCTGAGCTCGCAAAGACAGCATTCAGGCGTCAGCGATGGGCTCGGAAAACATTTGCAAAGGGAGCGAGGCCCAAACCGTATTTTATTTGCCCAAGCATTTGAGATTATGGCATTTCTCTAATAAATAATAATAATAATAATAATAATAATACTGACTTTTGCTTTGTGTTGCTTGAGTTACAGTGGTACCTCGGGTTAAATACTTAATTCGTTCCGGAGGTCCGTTCTTAACCTGAAACTGTTCTTAATCTGAAGCACCACTTTAGCTAATGGGGCTTCCTGCTGCCGCCGTGCCGCTGGAGCACGATTTCTGTTCTCATCCTGAAGCAAAGTTCTTAACCCGAGGTAATATTTCTGGGTTAGCGGAGTCTGTAACCTGAAGTATATGTAACCCGAGGTACCACTGTATTTTTCAACTATTGCTCTGTTCACAGAGTTTTATAGATTGTCATTGTTTCGGTGGTGATTTGTTGACTATTCTGCATGGTTCAGGCTGTATTTGTGATGTTCCATTAAGTACTAGCATGTTATTATTTTTTATTGTCTGTGAGCCACTTTGGGATTCATTTATATTATATTTCAAATATATAATAAATCAACTCAAAATAAGGGAATTAGAAGAGCCTGGCTGCTGAATAATAATAATAAATTCAGTGGTACCTCGGGTTAAGAACTTAATTCGTTCCGGAGGTCCGTTCTTAACCTGAAACTGTTCCTAACCTGAGGCACCACTTTAGCTAATGGGGCCTCCTGCTGCTGCTGCGCCGCTAGAGCACAATTTCTGTTCTCATCCTGAAGCAAAGTTCTTAACCTGAAGCACTATTTCTGGCTTAGTGGAGTGTGTAACCTGAAGCGTATGTAACCTGAAGCGTATGTAACCCAAGGTAGCACTGTAATAATAATAATAATAATAATAATAATAATAATTAGTACCCCCATCCATCTGACTAGGTCGCCCCAGCCACTCTGGGCAGCTTCCAGCATATTTATACAGAAACATAAGAAAACATTAAAAACTTCCCTATACAGTGGTACCTCTGGTTGCGAACAGGATCCGTTCTGGAGGCCCATTCACAACATGAAAAGAGCGCAACCTGAAGCGCCGTATCTACACAGGTGCGCGACGCGATTGGGCGCTTCTGCGCATGTGCGAGCGGCGAAACCTGGAAGTAACCCTTTCCGGTACTTCCGGGTCGCCACAGGACATAACCTGAAAGAACGTAACATGAAGCAAATGTAACATGAGGTATGACTGCACAGGTCTGCCTTCAGATGTCTTCTGAAAGTTTTTTAACTCCTTGACATTTGATGGGAGCGTGTTCCAGAGGATAGGTGCCACAACCGAGAAGGCCCTCGGCCGGGTTCCCTGTAGCCTCACTTCTCACAGTGAGGGAACTGCCAGAAGGCCCTCAGAGCTGGACCTCAGTGTCTGGGCTGAACGATGGGGGTGGAGACGCTCCTTCAGGTCTACTGAGCCGAGGCCGTTTAGGGCTTTAAAGGTCAGCAGCAACACTTTGAATTGTGCTTGGAAACGTACTGGGAGCCAAGGTGAGTCTTCCAATGTGGATCAGGACAAAGGCCTGTCTCGTCCAGCATCCTGTTCTCCCAATGACCAACCAGGTTCTCAAGGGAAGCCCACCAGCGGGAAATGAGCCCATTGTCCTGAATTGCAGTTCCCAGCAAATGGAATTCAGAGGCCTTCTGCATCGGACAGTTGGGGGTAGGGCATAGCCAACGTGGCTACTAACCGTTGGATAGCCTTACCCAGTTCTGGCCCACCCATGAGGCAAGATGAGGCAACCACCTCAGGTGGCAGGATCTACTGGGGCAGCAGATCCCGATGTCAATATTTCTTTCCCCCTGATTCCTGGTGTACTTTCCCAAACCACTTCTCATCCCTTGGGTTCAAGAAGGGGAAAGAGGCTGTATCTCAGCTTGAGACTCTTTAATCAGGCTGAGACCCTACCTGCCTGCGCACTGTCTCGCCAGAGTGGTGCATGCTCTGGTTATCTCCCGCTTGGACTACTGCAATGTGCTCTATGTGGGGCTACCTTTGAAGGTGACCTGGAAACTACAACTAATCCAGAATGCGGCAGCTAGACTGGTGACTGGGAGTGGCCACCGAGACCACATAACACCGGTCTTGAAAGGCCTACGTTGGCTCCCAGTACGTTTCCAAGCACAATTCAAAGTGTTGGTACTGACCTTGAAAGCCCTAAAAGGCCTCGGTCCTGTATACCTGAAGGAGCGTCTCCACCCCCATCGTTCTGCCCAGACACTGAGGTCCAGCACCGAGGGCCTTCTGGCGGTTCCCTCATTGTGAGAAGTGAGGTTACAGGGAACCAGGCAGAGGGCCTTCTCGGTGGTGGCGCCCACCCTGTGGAACGCCCTCCCTTCAGATGTGAAGGAAATAAGCAGCTATCTTATCTTTAAAAGACATCTGAAGTTTTTAATATTTAATGCTGTATTGTTTTTAACACTCGATTGGGAGCCGCCCAGAGTGGCTGGGGAAACTTAGTCAGATGGGCGGGGTATAAATAATAAATTACTATCATCATCATCATCATCATCATCCTAGGGTCATGGGTTCAATTCCTGCAGCGCAGGGGGTTGGACTAGATGATCCTCGGAGTCCCTTCCAACTCTACAGTTCTGATTCCCTGGGAGAGATACTGTAAAAGCAAAAGGAAACATCGCAGAAGCTAGACTTTATTGTGCACGCACCACCCTATCCAAAGAGCTGTTTGCCAACCCTCTGCACACAATTGCTTCTGCACGGAACGTGCCTTTCTTATCCCCGGGGGGTGAACTCTGGTGCAGTTAAGTAACCACATTGCTGGCCCTTCCCACTTGGTCTTCCAGGTTCAGATATTATCAGCATGATGTAGGAAGCACAAGGTAACCTTCTGTAAAGCCAGAAAATGTTCCTCAGTACCCGGCATGGCCTTTTGTCCCTGAAACAGGGAAAACTACGTAAAATGTAAGCAAATGTGCTCAGTTAGCTTCATTTCTGCTAATTCGTTAAAATGTTTTTTTGGGGGCACAAAACAATGGATCACATTTTTAAAATTATATATATATATGTATAGTACAGCCTTCACCTAGTGCCCTTCAGCCATGCCAGGTGGGATGAATGAGTTGTGGTTCAAAATACCTGGAGAACAGCAGGTTTGGTACATTTGGTTATAAGGCTGCCTATTGCATCTGTATAAATCTCTCCAAATACTCACAATTCAAGGAATCCTTACTATTGCAGACACGGACAATTTATTTAATTGGCTTCCAATAAAAATGCAGGCAGATTTCTGGCTCTGAACGCAAAGCTGCCGTCATCTCGTTTTCCTAATTCATTAGTGAGAGTGCATTTTAATTTCCTTATGGGATTTTATTATTATCACTGTATTCTCTTCTGGGAAGATCATAATGCGATCTTGGCTTCTGAAGTGATTAGGAAGCCGTGGAGGAGGAGAGGAAGAGGCTGGAGGAATACTGGAACTCTTCAACTGGGCATGGCAAGCAGAAGGCACATGAGATCATAGCTAAGAAGGAATTTCGTCACTGTCCTGGGATATGAGTGTGGGTAGGGGGGGAAAAACCCTCGTTTCCAGAAACTTTGTTCCAAAGCAAAATGCAGAACTGCCTTTCTCAGGGGAGCACGGACACATATCAGCTCACTTGGGGCTAAGGAAAATAGATGAACCAATGGTGTACTAGCCTTATGTCAGCAGGGAAGTATGCCAAGGGAAGTAATAGGTAAAGGGACCCCTGACCATTAGGTCCAGTCGTGGCCGACTCTGGTGTTGCGGCACTCATCTCGCTTTACTGGCCGAGGGAGCCAGTGTACAGCTTCCAGGTCATGTGGCCAGCATGACTAAGCCGCTTCTGGCGAACCAGAGCAGCGCACGGAAACGCCATTTACCTTCCCACCGGAGTGGTACCTATTTATCTACTTGCACTTTGACGTGCTTTCGTACTGCTAGGTTAGCAGAAGGGACCGACCAACGGGAGCTCACCCCGTCGCGGGGATTCGAACCGCCGACCTTCTGATCGGCAAGTCCTTGGTTCTGTGGTTTAACCCACAGCGCCACCCGCGTCCAAGAGAAGTAATAGTCCCACTCTATTCTGCCTTGGCCAGACCACACCTGGAGTACTGAGTCCAGTTCTGGACATCACAATTTAAGAAGGAGGTTGACAAGCTGGAACGTGTGCAAAGGAGAGTAACCAAGATGATCAAGGGTCTGGAAACCCGAACTTATGAGAAATGGTTGAAAGAGCTGGGTATGTTTAGCCTGAAAAAGAGGAGGCGGCAGAAGATATGATAGCCATCTTCAAATATCTCAATGGTGGAAAATAAATACAACCCAGGTGGTTAAGAAAGCCCAACAGAGACTCCCTCTCCTCAGAGTATTGTGGAAGAATGATGTCAATCAACATTTAATGATCTCATAGAATCATAGAATCATAGAGTTGGAAGAGACCACAAGGGCCATCGAGTCCAACCCCCTGCCAAGCAGGAAACACCATCAGAGCACTCCTGACATATGGTTGTCAAGCCTCTGCTTAAAGACCTCCAAAGAAGGAGACTCCACCACACTCCTTGGCAGCAAATTCCACTGTCGAACAGCTCTTACTGTCAGGAAGTTCTTCCTAATGTTTAGGTGGAATCTTCTTTCTTGTAGTTTGGATCCATTGCTCCGTGTCCGCTTCTCTGGAGCAGCAGAAAACAACCTTTCTCCCTCCTCTATGTGACATCCTTTTATATATTTGAACATGGCTATCATATCACCCCTTAACCTCCTCTTCTCCAGGCTAAACATGCCCAGCTCTCTTAGCCGTTCCTCATAAGGCATCGTTTCCAGGCCTTTGACCATTTTGGTTGCCCTCCTCTGGACACGTTCCAGTTTGTCAATGTCCTTCTTGAACTGTGGTGCCCAGAACTGGACACAGTACTCCAGGTGAGGTCTGACCAGAGCAGAATACAGTGGCACTATTACTTCCCTTGATCTAGATGCTATACTCCTATTGATGCAGCCCAGAATTGCATTGGCTTTTTAGCTGCCGCATCACACTGTTGGCTCATGTCAAGTTTGTGGTCAACCAAGACTCCTAGATCCTTTTCACATGTACTGCTCTCAAGCCAGGTGTCCCCCATCTTGTATTTGTGCCTCTCATTTTTTTTGCCCAAGTGCAATACTTTACATTTCTCCCTGTTAAAATTCATCCTTCTACCGGTCCACAACAGAAAGTGTCCTTTCATACTGCATCACGGTGTGGTACGCTGGTTTGACATCATCTGATAGGAAGTGCCTGCAGAGGATGGTGAATACAGCACAAGGTATTATGGGCTGTCCCGTGAATCGGCTGGATGAAATTGCGGAAGAACGTTGCCTCAGGAGAGTGAGGAAAATTCTCAGGGATGATTCACACCCTGGCCGGCACTTTCTTGATCTCCTGCCCTCGGGCAGAAGACATAGAAGCAGGATTAGTCGCACCAACAGGGTAAAGAACAGCTTCTATCCATGGGCTGTTAGGCTGCTGAATGAAAAGATAACAGGAGGGCAACTGACTTTTGGTTTTGGTGGGTGTGCGTCAGTAAACGAGGGGAATTAAGACTAAGAGAGCTGAGTGGGGGGTGCTTGTGCAATCTCACTGTATACAAGTTGTACGAGTGACAATAAAGTATTTCAATTTCAATTCAATATGGAAGAGGGAAGAAGCTTGTTTTCTCCTGCTCTGGAGGGTGGGACTCAAACCAGTGGCTTCAAGTTACAAGAAATGAGATTCCAACTGAACACCAGGAAGAACTTTCTGACAGTAAGAGCTGTTCAACAGGGGAACGGACTCCCACGGGAGGTTGTGGGCTCTCCTTCCTTGGAGGTTTTTATGCAGAGGTTGGATGGCCATCTGTCAGGGATAATAATAATAATAATTTATTATTTATACCCCGCCCATCTGGCTGAGTTTCCCCAGCCACTCAGGGGCTTTAGCCGGGATTCCTGCATTGCAGCGGGTTGGACTAGATGACCATCAGGGTCCCATCCAATTCTACAATTCTATTATTCTAAGATGCAGCAGTTCTGAAATAGGCCCATTTCCCACTCCGCTGTTTCCAACTTCCTGATTAATCTTGCTTGGTTCAGGCGTAACACCAAACCACAGTTTAGTATGAAATGAACCTCACATGCTTCCCTTTCTGTGCTTCAATTCTCTCTCTCACTCTCAGCTTTAAAAGTAATGCAAGGTTTGTCTGGTTAAGGGTGAACTGTGGTCTGCCGCTTAAGTGGAAGCGAAAGGGGACCAGAGCTTGCGAGGGAAGGACAGACCCCCTGCAGGCAGCAGGGCGCGTTCATGTAGTACCACTCAGCAGAAAGACAGGGGCACAAAACACTGCCCCATCTGCAAATTACAGGAGGATTCTTGAGGAGGCAAACATAGAATCATAGAATCATAGAGTTGGAAGAGACTACAAGGGCCATCGAGTCCAACCCCCTGCCAAGCAGAAAACACCATCAGAGCACTCCTGACATCAGAGCACTCCAAACAAAGAACAGCTGGATCTTAAAGAAAAATGGGCAATTATCTTTATGGAATTTTCTACCACAATAAAATATAAACAGTCCAACACAACGAACGAGAAACATCCATTCAAGGACTTAGTTCCAGTTTGTTCTAAACGACGCTGTCTCTTGCTGCAATCCCAGGATGGAGTTGAAGAACATGAGATTCCTGGCGTGATGCATCCCTGTTTGGCCTCCGGGTGGGGGGGTGGGGGGCAGGAAAATCAGACTTGTTCCGCAAGGTCCAAGACTCGGAATTTGTCCAGGTTGTAGAAACATGCCTTCACCACTCGTCCGCCAAAGTACCTTCCATTCAGGTCAACAACGGCTGGAATAATAATAATAATATTTTTAATGCCCATCAAACACCGAGAGAGCAATTCGCCAGCCAGAGAAACATTCTTTCTTATAAGAAATTGGGCAAAAAAGTGGGAGAAGAACCAAGTCAAGTTCACTAGATTACGCTAACGAGGGCATCCATTTCATTTCAGTTCAAGCTGGGCAATAATAATAATAATAATCATTATTTTTTATTTATACCCTGCCCTTCCAGGTTCAAAAACCGGGCTCAGGGGGGCTAACAACCAATTTAAAACACTTAATTGTAAAAGCAGCATAAAATACAGTATAAAAACATGAATAACAATAAAATTCAATGTTCAGAAATCAATTTAGGGGAAATCCATCTAATAAGCATTAGATAATCCCCAGGGCTAGCTGGCTGAATTAGTCCTACTTGGGCCAGTGAGGAGGCCAGGGGAGAATTAGCTGTGGGGTCTCAGAGCGGGTGATCTTCATAAAAGGGGAGGGGGGAAGAGAAGGGAAATAAAAGATCAGGCTGAATTCAAATTAAAGGCCAGGCGGAATAGCTCTGTCTTACAGGCCCAACGGAAGGAGGTTAAATCCTGAAGGGCCCTAGTCTTATGGGACAGAGCATTCCACCAGGTCGGAGCCATTACTGAAAAGGCCCTGGCCCTGGTGGAGGATAGTCTGACTTCCTTAGGGCCTGGGACCTCTAAACTATGGTCCTGTGATGCTTTTAACATTTGTAAGTGAGGGATAACAACAACAACAACAACAATAACAATAATTTATTATTTATACCCCGCCCATCTGGCTGGGCTTCCCCAGCCACTCTAGGCAGCTTCCCAAAAAATATTAAATACTGTAATACACCAAACATTAAAAGCTTCCCTAAACAGGGCTGCCTTCAGATGTCTTCTAAAAGTCTGGTAGTTGTTGTTCTCTTTGACATCTGGTGGGAGGGCGTTCTACAGGGCGGGTGCCACTACCAAGAAGGCCCTCTGCCTGGTTCCCTGTAACTTGGCTTCTCGCAGTGAGGGAACCGCCAGAAGGCCCTTGGTGCTGGACCTCAGTGTCCGGGTAGAACGATGTGGGTGGAGACGCTCCTTCAGATATATTGGACTAATATTGGGTGTTTAATCCTGTGTCTGCTTCAAAGCTGACTGAGGCTGACAGATACTGAGACGTGACTTCGCCTCATGTAAAGGAGCAACAAAGAATAATGTCTACCCCCCGGGCATCAGTCCAGGCTCAAGAGACTAAGTCTATATTGCCACAACCAGAAATGGAACTGAATATTGTTCCGCGGACTTCAGGGCCAGAAGTTGGACTATGATCTGGGAGACCACGATTCAAACCCCCCTCGGCTCACCAGGTGACCTTGGAGCAGTTGCAGTTTCCCTGCCTAGCCTACCTTACAAGGTTGTTGTGAGGATAAAATGGGGAATGGAGAAGGGAATCACATATGCCACCTTGAGCCCCTTGAAGCAATAGTGGGATATTGATGTAAATATTAAAGAAGGAGCTAAGTACTGGACTGGTCATTATTAGACTGTTACCTTTAATTGCAGATTCCACTCTTTCGAACTCTAGGAATATTCTCACAGCTTCATCATCAGGTGCCCCTGGAATCTGTGTAAAACAAACAAACACACAATTGCAAAGAGAGGTGAAAGAAAGTAAAATAGCCCTAGCAATACTGTAACCTCCGATTTCTCCTAAGGATTACTACTTTTGAAGAATCATATATAAATCCACATCTCATGCTTCAGCTAGATAAAAGACGAAGGGCTGACATAAATGCAGTTGAAAGGTAACTACTTAAATCCAACGAATGTTCGGAGGGGGAAAAATCATGATTAGGAATTATTTAGTAGCCACAATCTCTCTCCCTAACCAACCTCACAGGGTTGTTGTAAGGATTTTGGGGGTGGGGGGTGGAGACACACAACACAGACTGACTCAAACTCTTTAGATTCAGGACAGGATATAAATTTAATAAATAGATAGATTTTGGTGGGAGTTTTTGTTGTATTTTTATTTTTTTAATGGAGGGACTGGATGAAAGATTGCCAGGCGTTAATTTAGAAGAAGAGGAGGAGTTTGGATTTGATATTATGCTTTATCACTACCCGAAGGAGTCTCAAAGCGGCTAACAATCTCCTTCCCCTTCCTCCCCTACAACAAACACTCTGTGGGGTGAGTGGGGCTGAGAGACTTCAAAGAAGTGTGACTGGCCCAAGGTCACCCAGCAGCTGCATGTGGAGGAGCGGGGACGCGAACCCGGTTCACCAGATTACAAATCTACCGCTCTTAACCACTACACCACGCTGGCTCTCTCAATTTAGACACAACAAACTCTGTCTGCATTCTGGGACACGGAGCAAGTGATCCCCAAGGATTCTTGTCAGCTCAAAATTCCAACCGACTCAGGTTGCCTGCCAGATGACTTTTGACACACTTCGGATTAGATATGTAAAACTGGAGCAACTGTATGAACCAATATCAGATTGTTTGGCGGCTGCCAGGATGACGCACGTCAGATGCTGAAAAGAGCAGTCCGTGCTGCCCTGGTCTGAAGGGCTTCAGGTGGCTTGGGTCCGCGCTCAAACTCCTGGGTCAAATGGTGTGCTGTGTCATGGCAAGGTTTTCAGTTGAAGATTGTAGGCAGGTGTATACAAGTGAAGCACAATTTTAACTGTTCAGAAAGAAGGATGTCGCATTCCTTGATTAAATACGCTGAACTCAGAAAAGTTGTGCATTGAAATTCTACAAGGAAAAGCCATGTGAATCTTAATTAGACTGGTCTATAGCTTCATCCCATACCACGTGGGGGAGAAAATCAGTCTCCAGATTTTATGGTCATACACAAAAATTACCTGTTATTAATTACTCTTGGGTTCAAGAATGCAAACAAATAACAGTTTTTCCAACAGAAACTGGCATGCCTTTTATTTTGCATTCTAGTAAAACAACAACAACAACAACCTCTTGGTAACTGTGATATAATTTGCCAGTATTTTCTTAACTATATAATATATGGGTTTTGATCAATGTACAATGAAATTATAGAATTGTGGCATTTATATAAGTAAACTATATAATTACTCTGCAGATTTTCAGCTCATGGTGGGGTAACTTTGGATCTCCACAGATTTCCTTCTTGCCAACATTTTGTGTTTTTAATGTGTTGTAAGCCCTGTCAGGTATCTCTTGCTTTTGTTTCTGTGCACTGCTTATATTTGTTGCTGGGGCGGGGGGGGGGGGGGGCGGGCGAGGAAACTATGGGAAATGGTGCCAGCTAATACCTCAAAGATGACGCACTTCCCCACTTTGCCGTATTTTTCACATTCCTCCTTGGTTTCGCCTTCCAGGTCTTCATCAACCTCCCCAGCTCCGACCATATTCTGCAAAAAAGAAAAAAATCCAATTGAAGAGGGGGCCAGTGGCATAGCGTGGGTTGCTGTGCTCAGGGCTGAGCGGAAGTGAGGTGCGAGCGGGGAAAACTGTCAGAGTACGCATGCGCATTCAACTGTCTAACAGCGTCTGTGGGAGGTAACAGGCCTCTGGAACGGATTGTGGTCGTGAGTAGAGGTTCCACTGTATTGTAATACCAGTCAGAGGCTTAATCCACAAGACTGGGGGTGGGGGACGACTCACCCGTAGCAGAACCACTTTGGTAGGGCACTTTAGTATCTCTGTTAAGGGATTCGAATCCGATTTCTTGGAGGCATCTGCAATGCAGAAAGGAAGAAAGCAGGAACAGGACAACATTAAATACTGGATCGCTACTTCGTGAGCAATCACATGCTAGGTAAATCCTGACCCAGGGATGCCTGAGGGTGTTCTTTTGATTCTAGGAATCTGGGGCGGGTGTTCAGATCATAAAGAACAGAACCAACAGAGCTATTCAGGCTGTTATACTCAGAGCAGACCCAGTGAAATTAGTGCGCATGTCTAAGCTAGCGCCATCAATTTCAATCCGAGTAAAACCACCTTTGGGAATGGTCGCTAGGTTTAATTACTCCCACCCACCGTGGACAACAATTTATTTTTTTGTACCTCGCCCACCTGACTAGGTTGCCTCCGCCACTCTGGGCAGCTTCCAACAGAATACAGTCATACCTTGGTTCTCGAATGGCTTATTTGCCGAACAAATCGGCTCCCGAACGCCCCAAACCCGGAAGTAGGTGTTCCGGTTTGTAAACGTTTTTCGGAAGCCGAATATCCGACGCGGCTTCAGCTTGAGTACAGGAAGCTCCTGCAGCCAATCAAAAGCTGTGCCTTGGTTTTTGAATGATTTCGGGAGTTGAACGGACTCCCGGAACGGATTAAGTTTGAGAACCAAGGTACCACTGTATACAAAAGCACAACACCCAGTGCTTTTTTTCAGGCAGTACGCAATGGTGTTCAGGACCACTGCCTTTTTGGGGGGGGGGGGATGAGGTGGGAGGGCTCTTGGACCTCGTCAGAGCATCGTGCCTCCTTCCCCAAGCCTGGTTAGTGTTTCCCAGGCAGGGGAGACCTCTTCACCAATAGGCAGGTGGGCAGGCAAGGAAACATCAAGCAGGTATCCTGTCCTCACTGCCCAGCCCTGATATCTGGCCACGCTGTTCCTGCATGCGCTGGCCCTACCCCCCTGTTTGTTGGTGAACCAGCACTTTTTTCCTAGAAAAAAAGCACCAAGAATGTCACACTCTCAAATAATAATAATAGTAATAATTTATTATTTATACCCCGCCCATCCGGCTGAGTTTCCCCAGCCGCTCTGGGCAGCTCCCAATCGAGTGTTAAAACAATACAGCATCAAATATTAAAAACTTCCCTAAACAGGGCTGCCTTCAGATGTCTCGAAGTACTACAACCCAAAAGCATCCCCACTATAGGGCTCTATGGGGCCTGTATGAAGCAGTAACTCCTACTGGAGAGCTCCTGGCCCAGAGGGAAAAGGACAAGGCAGAGCATACCACTGCAGATTGATGGCAACACAACTTTTCCATTTGTCAGACCAAAGGCTTTGCAGCACTTCTGAAGTCCCGAGGGGGCAAATAATCACCCAAGAGCAAGGAACTAACCTGATCTTTAAGAAAAGGCTTAAGCAGATAAGCCTCAGTTAAGCCTGTTACAGGTGGACACAAAGGGGAATGCAAGGCTGATTAAAGGAACGGAAACCAAGAGGGCAGTTAATTATTAAGTTTCCCCTGATGATCAGCACTTGGTCCGTGCGGTATGAGGTCACCCCACCTTTCTGCCTCAGCACCGCTGCCCACCTGTCAACATTGTTATTCCCTACTCCAGAGAAGTCTCCCCAAATTACCTTTATCAGCAGCATCGCCGACAATGATTTTGCCACCTCTCTTGCTGGTTTTCTCCACCGACAGCGCCGTGCTCAAGCCCTGCTCGTGCTTCCCGAGACCCTGGCCCTCTCGGAAGCCGTATTTCTGCATGATCTTGTGCGCCACTGTGCCTCTGGAGATGAAACAGAAACAGGGTTGAATGGGCAACCACTTGGGAAATCAGACAGCTCTCGTTTGCAGCACTAAACCTTGGCTTGGCACGGAGGAGCAAACGTACAGCTGCAAATGAGGACGCTGTGGCCGCTTTGTCGCTATGAGGAGCTGAACAATGTTTTGGCTTAGCAAGTCTTCTGAACCTGGGCTTGTGGTTTAGCTCTGCCAGACACACCACCGGCTACAAACCTTAGAGCAAACCTTGGTTACACTTTGTGGTTTTTCAGGCGGGAGCTAAGCCATGAGCCTGGGTTCAAACGCTAAGCCAAACTGTAACTTGGCTAGGTGCAAGGAGCTAACGAAGTTACCAAGGAGCAGCAAAGCAGCAACGATCTCCTCTCTGGGAGACCATATGTTTGCTCATTCCTGCTAAGCCACATTTCAACTTAGCGTTATGTGCAAACCAGGCGATAGAATGGATGTGTTTGGCAGGGGCTGGATCAGATGATCATTTGCAGCATTAAATGCTAAAATGTTAACTGGCACAGCAGCCCCTGAGATTTATCTAGAAGTGTTTAGCAAAATGAAGACACCCAGAGAATAAGCAAGATTCAGCTACTTTTCTGAAATATCGCAAGCAAGCTACAGTTGTTCACTAAACTAGGGTGGCAAGCAAAACTGTATCATCATCAGTGATAGACTGTCCAAAGGGAAACGTATTTCCAAGCTAACTGTTCATTAAACAAGTTTTCATAATGTTGTTCTTTTTTTTCATAATTTATTCTCTATTGTTTAAACATTTTGCATGGTTTATTATAATCACAAGAAAGGGAAAGGAAGTATATAGAACACTGACGATCTTAATTGGCCATTCCTTGTTTTTCCTGAAGCATCACCCAGGTGATTTCAAGTATATTTGAATCTGTAATGACTAGGAGATTCAATTTATTTATTTATTTAATGAAGTTATACACGAAACAGAATAAGAGAGCAGAATGAATTTTATCATTTCAGACTGCAGGCAAAGGTAATCCATTTCTGAATGAATCCTTGAAGAAAATGCTCTGTGCAATTATTATTATCATTATTATTATTATAGAACAGCAGATCGGAGAGAAAGCTGTAAAACAGAACCTATTTGCTATGTCAGTTTGTTAGCTGGAAAGATATTTCTCTCTGGGGAGCTCTGTGAGCCCCCACTTGCAATCTGAAAGGGGACAGTATATTCTACTGCCTTGGGACTCTATCCCTGCCACATCGTAAAACCAGCATTAGATTTTCAGCAAGTCAGGAAGCTGAACTCCATGCCTGATGTCACCCATCTCCTCAAAGCTGAACTAGTGCCAATGACTTGGTAGGAATAGCAGGGTCATCTGTGCCTTACAGGAAGATTCAAGCACATTGCAGGCAGGAGGACGGAGCCCACGATATCCACAAGTATAAATTACAACCCTACAAAAGGGGGCAACATCCCCGCTCCCGAACAGTAAAGCAACAAGTGCATGCATGATCTTGTGCACCAGGGAGGGGAAGGAGTAAGTGCATATACAGCCTATGAAGACAGTTCCCCAGGTCTTGTAGCAGAGGAGAAGAATCAACATGCATGCGAGGGACACAGTGCAAGATTTCGTTGCAGCTTGCACTTGTCCTGAGCTATTCCTGTGTAGTTTTATGGAACTGCAGCCCGCACGGAGCTCTGGCGGCTAAAGTCAATGTCAGGTCTCTAAAGAAACCTGCGCCTCTTTGAGGTCAGGAGCTGAATTCAGTTATCTTAGGCCATGGGTCAGCAAACTAAGGCCCGTGGGCCAGATCAGGCCCAATTGCCTTCTGGATCCGGCCTGTGGACAGTCCTGGAATCGCCGTGTGGATCGCCAGCGCGCACGTTCTTTCCCTCTCCCTCACACAGCAGCAGCGCCTCCTCCCTCCTGGCTTCTCCCTGCCCTGCCTAGAGGAGGAAGGGGGCTGGGCTTTGTTGGTGCCAGCAGCAGCAGCCCTCGAGCGGGCGCCATTTTAAGCAGCCCCTCTCCAGAGCCCTTTTGCACGCTGCTCATCGTCCCTCCGCCACCACCACCGCCAGCCCCTGCCACTTGCAAGACACAGGTAAGCAGCCACCGGGTCTCGTGGTGCTCTTGCATCATTCCCCCCCCCCAAAAAAATAAAGTCCGGCCCCCCACAAGGTCTGAGGGACAGTGGACTGGCCCCCTGCTGAAACAGTTTGCTGACCCCTGTCTTAGGCCATCAAAAGAGTACGACGTGAAAGTAGGAGACAGTCTTTTAGGCAGCTGCCCGGCGGGTGCAGCACACAGGAGGGGATCATGTTGCAAGATGCCAAATTAATTGAAATCAGCGGCAGACAGCATGTGGGCCGCATGCAGAATCCCCAAACTGTCTCCCTGCTTTATGTGGCCGTTGCGCAGCCACTCACCCTCCGTCAATACAGTGGTACCTCGGGTTACAGATGCTTCAGGTTACAGACGCTTCAGGTTATAGACTCCGCTAACCCAGAAATATTACCTTGGGTTAAGAACTTTGCTTCAGGATGAGAACAGAAATCGCGTGGCGGTGGCGCAGCAAGAGCAGGAGGCCCCATTAGATAAAGTGGTGCTTCAGGTTAAGAACAGTTTCAGGTTAAGAACGGACCTCCAGAACAAATTAAGTACTTAACCCAAGGTACCACTGTAGAGAGCTTCGCTTGAGAAAAGGGGAGACCCGGAGCTGCTACTGGGAACTGTAGTTCCACCTCTAGGACATTGGGCTTGACCTCAACAGCAAAACTGGAGTTATTAGAAGGTGCTTGTCAATTTACATGCCATAGCGCATGCAGAAGTTGCAGGGTTGCTCCCCAGTACTGGCCACCACTGCCCCCTCCTGGCATTTTGTAGGAAGTGCCTGAAATGGTTGCATTCGCTCACCCCATGTTAGCAAGGAAGGAATTGCTGGGTCCTGTCGGGGATCGAGGCCTCTCGGGCTCATCGTACATCGGGGGAGGAATGGCTGCTTTGGATGATGATGAACCGCGAGGCCTGGGCTCTTCTTCATACGGGAATGACGACGATACAGCTGGAAGCGAAGTGGGACGTTCAACATTAAGCCGAAAAACCACAAAAAACCATGCATTTCCACTATGGCTGGCGTGCGTTTCCTGACTCGCTTGCACAGATAACTGAACAGCCTTGTAAGTTCCAGCTCCCACATCTCCGTTATCTTGCCCGCTAGGGGGAAAGATGAGTGGGGGTCGGGTGGCGATGTTTCTATTATACTTAATATATGTGGGGTTTTGTGTCAGCGTTGCTTGTGCAGGTTCTCTGCAGTTCACTTGTGTTCCTTTGGTGGTGAGAGAGGTTGGGGTTGGTCGAGGGTGTGGCTGTTCATTTGTGGTTGGCTGTGGTGGTCTTTGTTTTCATGTGTGAGTGGGGTGGGTGGGTGTTTTGGATCAGGTTAGCCATATTGATTTGTATGTTGTTGGTGGATTTTTGTCAATGTCTTGTTGGGATGTGTATGTGATAAAGAGGAGCCATACCGGGGTAAAGGTGTCTTCTTCTATTTGTCCCCGTGTCAGTTTCAGTTTATCGGTTAATTTTTCTAGTAAGGCTGTTTCCCATACTATTTAGTACCATTGGTCCATGCTTATTCCTGACAGGTCTCTCCAACCCTTTCACTCTTCTGCTGCCACAGCAGACTAATCACTAGAACCTAGTTCTTACAGACAGCAGCTATGGTAAACTGTCTCAACTGTACCGTTTTGGACTATGAGTTGGGGTGGAAGGAAGCTGTCGTAAAATGAATGCTCTCCCTCCAACTCCAAAAAAGAGATTCCTACACATGCAAAAACCTAACACGTCATGGAGAAGATGTCTTTCTAGCCTAGCGTTCTTCCTGACATGCTAGCATTCTGTGCGTGGGGATTATTTTCATTTTGGCAGGGAGAATTCATTGACGTGAACACCCCTTCCAAACAGCCCAAAAGGCTACAACTCAGACACAGGCTTGCAGCCTGCGAAGAATAAATTTCAGTTTGCACAAGGTGATGGCGAGGCCCAAGAGGCTGGTCCAGGGCCCTGCAGAAACCAAGTGAGCATCCCTAGAGCATGTCCTCATATCATCTGCAGTGCCCAGGGTTTTGTGGCAGACATCCACAGCAGCCGGGTGTCCCTGGAAAGCATCCGCTGAAGGCAAGACATTTTTGAAAGCCATGGCATTAGCAACTTCAAAGAAAAATAATAATAATAATTTAAACATACGTTCTTTGTCCCTCTCAACCAAAGAAGTAGGTGGTGCAATGGCAGCTCCTCCCATACCTGTGAAAGGAAACAATTGCATGAAAAAGAATGCAGGAATCTGTAAGACTTAATAGGTGTCACAAGAATCAGAGACTCTTCCTTGGTTTTGCTGCAATGGACTCAACGTAACTGTCCTTCTGGAAGTTCAACAGGCTAGGCGTGTGCGCAGATGGGATAAAGAGATATTACACCGCATATGCATAGCTTGATCCACTCCCCCTCTTTCCTTTCTCCTTCTGTGATGGAACTCTTATTTGGGGACTTCCCTGGCTTTTTTCTGGCCCACGTAGGACCAGTCTGGATAGTTGGCCTTGGTGAAGATTTGACGTTTTCATCCCCAAAAAGTTTTTGATTTGAGTTTCTACTGAAATGAGGCTGCATTTTAATGTTGTACTTTAATCTTGTTTTTAAGTTGTCTTTTAATCAATTGTTTTTATACCTGGTGTTAGCTGCCCTGAGCCCAGTCTTGGCTGGGGAGGGCGGGGTATAAATAATAAATTATTATAAATTATTATAATTATTAGTTCAATGCACTCAACTTCAGTGATAAAAGCATCAATGCCTAGGAAGGCACCTGGAGCCAGAAAGCATCCCCAAAGCTCAGCAAATCCTGGACTACATCCCAACACTGAGTTGCCTTGGTAAACCCCAGGCTACAATCAACCAAAAGAATGAAAACTTCGATGACACACTGCCGCTGATATGAAGGGGTTGGGGTATCAGAGAGGTGTGTAGCTGTTCTATCACTTTGTCGCTGGTTTCTGCCACTCCTGGCTCCTAAAAGGTTAAGCCCAGGGTCTTTGAAATGACTCCACCAGATGTCCCTTTCCTCAAAATGTGTGTGAGAAAAACACAGAGCTGCCTTTTAGAGGCTTCAGACCCCAAGGTCTGGCACAGCTTGTTCCATGCCAGAAATAAGAAACCCAGCAAGAAACCGCCAGGGTGATTTTGCTTTGTTAATTGGGGCACAATAAAGGCCTCCTTATATTCTGCGACCAGTCACCTGTCCTGTGCATCTGCCAACACCGATCCCAGTGGAAATGGGTTCTTGCACAACAGCAAAAGAAGAGAGGATAATGGGAGGAATAGAGCCAGAGGTTTGGTGAGATTAACATGGCTCAAAGTCAGCCAGGGAATTAAAAGTGCAGCTCAGAGAGATGACACGATGCTGAGAAGCATAAGAGAGCGTATTTCTTCAAGCAATAAAGCCCTCTACAATTGGGAACTGTGTCCTGCAAGATCTCCATTACAAAGTTATTTATTTCCAGTTCCCAAAAGGAAGGAAGCCCAACTAAAGCTGGCAACTTAAAATTATTATTATTATTATTTATTGAATTTATATACCGCCCTATACCTGGAGTTACGGAGTAAATTTGAAGAAAACTTCAATAGTTGGAAATGTCTAGGTGGTCCCCTACTTTGCCACTTCTCCATTGCTGCCTCTTCAATGTCGGCGATAATTTAAATGGCACGCTCAGAAATCCGGGATTGCTTTAAACCCCGCAACCAGTCTCACTGCCATTTCCCTTTTACAGATTCAGAACCAAGGCTACATGGAAGACTTCCCCAAGCCATGACCTTCAAAGTCATCGCCAAAATCTATGGAACGTCTTGTCATTTAAGCACTGGGACGCTACAAAGGATTTTTACTGGGAGAGAGAAAAAGACCATTCCTGCCTCTCCCCCACCACCAAACCCCATTGTGTGTGTTGTGTTGTTGTGTTGTGTTGTGTTGTGTTGTGTTGTGGAGGGGAGGGCTGCAACACTGATAGCATTAAGGACATAATGGGGTTGTCTGGTCTGGGTGGGAGAGAAGCCACCCTTGCTATACAAAATAGAGATAAATCAGCAGCCACAATTGATGCAGAAAAGCAGCTCCAGCTTTTGATAGACCCTGAACTTTCTGTTCTCAGCAAGTCCTTAAGCACTAACCAGCTCCTTGCTTGGCACCACTGCGTACCCTCTCTTGCACTCACTCATGAGCAGACTTAACCAGGTGGCAGCAGCAGTTTGCTACAGTGCTGCCACCAAAAAAAGTCTGCTCTCAAGGGCTGCAGGGAGCTCTTTGTGCCCACCAGAGAACTTATCTAGGGGCATCACCATAATGGCTTGCTGCCCCTGGGTAGGCTGCTTCAAAGGTGACCACACATGACAAGGAGGCTGGCAGCGCCAAGAGGCCCCCAGAAGATGCCACAACCTGATGGGCACCGACACTGGTCTCCAGGCAAGGGGAAGAACCCATCACTTCTAACTGAGATTCCAGTGTCCAACCAAGGCCGTGCTCCGCGACTAGGATTTCCTTACTTCTTTTCCGCCTCTCTCTTTCGTAATCTTCATCTTCGTCAGAATCTGGATCCGGCCGCCTTGAAAATCCACTCGCCTCATGCCTGTCTTTGCGCCTCCTTGAAATTAAAACAGAAATTAAGATGACAATCCTCAGGTGCAGGGAACCCACAGAGCACACTTCGCAATGCAGGGTGTGTTTTGCCTACAACAATTACGAAATACAGATGTTTACAGATGCATTTCAGAGGTACTATCTGTTTTTCTTTTGCTGCAAGGGTTGGCATAGTTCCTACGGAATCCATCTCTACCAGTTTTATTAGAGTAATTCCTTTCTATCCAAACTCTGGGCACAAACTGATTTCCCCCCTAAAGGACTAAACTAATTAATGATGGGTTACTTCTTTCTGTCCAAGTGTTTACAATTTGAAGCAGCTCTTTGGCAAGTCCAGATACCATTCACACAGAAATAAATCAATACTGGTTTACTGTACATTGATCTCAAATGCCAAGGAAAATTATTCTGAAAGGTGAAAACTTGGGTGCACTGATATCCAACATCCTCATACAAATAGGACCTGAGAGCCTATGATATCCTGTAGCGAACGTGCCCATACAAGTGATTTAACTGTATCACAGGTTTAATTAAGGATTTACAAGGTGAAAAATATTATCAGCTGACCTGATGTCTTACAAAATTATTCAGCTCGTAAAGACTTTGACACCATCAAAATGGCTAAGACAAGCATGTAGGTGGATGGTTTACGGCCCAGACGACTTACTTCTCCCTTTCTTCAATCTCTTTCTGCCTCTCCAGCTCACGCTGCCTTTGCCGTTCTTCCCGCTGGCGTTTTACTACTTTCTCGTAATCGTTGGGAAACATGGGGTCATACTCATCAGCCAAAGGAATCAAGACATCTCCTGCAGAAAAGCCACTGGGGACGGGGTCCTGGGGTTGGAAGGGGGAGAAGCGCTGATGAAAGCTAGCCAACGAAATTGCAACAGCCAAGAGGCCTCCTCGAATGCCGCCGATTTCACTTTCAAAGTATTTCCCAAATATTTCCTCTCGAAACCCAACATACAGAAAAACAACCTCCCCCAAAACCAATGTCAACAGCTGCCCTTATGCTTATCTGCAATCGGGATGAGGCCAAGATCTGCATTCCACTTACGGCGCCCAGAGGAGTTGGGGTTGGACCTGGATGCACTGAGTCTGCACGAAAACTGTCTGCTCGACCCTTTCCAAAGCAGTAATCCTGTCTGATAAAAGCACCCATCGCCCTTTGGGTCCTATTGCCCGTATTGTATTTACCGTATTTTTCGCTCTATAAGACGCACTTTTCTCCTTCTAAAAAGGAAGGGGAAATGTATGTGCGTCTTATGGAGCAAATGCAGGCTCCATGGCTTCAGCGAAAGCAAAACGAAGCCTCCGCTGCACTCCAGAGGCTTCAGGCGGCTATCCCTGAAGCCAGGAGAGCAAGAGGGATCAGTGCGCACCGATCCCTCTTGCTCTCCTGGCTTCGCTTTGCTGGAGAGGCGCTGCGCAGCTTTCCCTCTCTGCGCAGCGCCCCTTCAGCAAAGCAGGAGGAGAAACGGCAGGGGCTCCGTTTCTCCTGCCGCTTCGCTGAAGGGGCGCTGCGCAGAGAGGGAGAGAATATTTTTTTTCTTGTTCTCCTCCTCTAAAACTAGGTGCATCTTATGGCCGTGTGCATCTTATAGAGCGAAAAATACGGTATTTTGCCCACCCAAACTGCGCTGCTTTTTCAGTTTGCTTCTGGTTTCATTTCATGGTGCTTGCTCTTGTCTGTAAGCAGTGAAAGGACCAGGCAAACACTCCTTCAAGAGCATCCACTCCCTTATGAACCTCAACCTATCTCCATCAAGAACATCAGAAGAGCACTGCCAGAACAAGCCAAAGGCCCTCTAGCCCAACATCCTGTTTTCATAGTGGACAACCAATGTCCACAGGAATTCTGCAACTGGGACCTGAGCACAACAGCGCCCTCCCCACTTGCGCTCCCCAGCAGCAGAGGAGATCTCTGCAAGAGTACCCAAATATTATGCCTTTGGGAGAATAATATGGCAGCTACTTAGAAACAGTGCTACTCAGAGATGGTACGAAGGCTGTGAAACACTTTCCTTGGAGCCTCATCAGGCAACACACACCGTTAGGCAATTTGTCAAAGGCCCCCTTTGTACGCATCTGGGGACCTAGCTTAAAATTTACACTGTTGACTGGAACACCCTCTGTTGCAGCTCTCTGCAAGCCACTGTTCCTGCTAACATTCATTTCCCCCAACTCTGTTAATGCAACTTTACTGGTTGATCCTCCCTTAGTTACTGTTGTTGAGTGTTTTGCACAAATTGGTACAAACCAATAATCTTACAGCCTTTCTCAACCTTGGGTCCCCAGATATTTTTGGCCTACAACTCCCATCATCCCTGACCACTGGTCCTGTGAGCTAGGGATCATGGGAGTTGTAGGCCATCTGGGGGCCCAAGGTTGAGTACCACTGAATGTATTCAGATAACACGTTATTATTATTATTATAATCAGTATTATTATTACTGTACTTATTATTTATACTTACTAGTCACTTGTTACCTAAAAGGTCTTCGAGAGACTTAAGATTTAAAAACATTAAGGCATTATCACATTAACGTGTTTGCAAAAGTGTGACAGCACTAGTCTCATAAAAGGTCATTTAAAGATCCCTATCACTTAACACCTTTATTGCACGGATCCATTTTAGAAACCATCACGATGAAAGTGTCTCACAGTTTCCTGGCTGGCCATTTTCTGCATTTAGGACTCCACTATATAAGCCCCCGCCCAAAAAAGACCAGTTTGCCTCGGAGCAGCTCCAGTCTTACCTTCAGGCCAGCTGCCACGTGAGGAGGGGTGTCTACAATTTGTCGCTCATCAGATGCACTGCCTCGCTTCAGGTCAATCACGGGAGCAAGAACCGTGCTTTGCTTTGTTCGCTGACTCTAAAGTAAGAAGAAGAAGAAGAGAAGAGTTTGGATTTGATATCCCGCCTTTCACTCCCCTTCAGGAGTCTCAAAGCGGCTAACAATCTCCTTTCCCTTCCTCCCCCACAACAAACACCCTGTGAGGTGAGTGGGGCTGAGAGACTTCAGAGAAGTGTGACTAGCCCAAGGTCACCCAGCAGCTGCATGTGGAGGAGCGGAGACGCGAACCGGGTTCCCCAGATTACGTGACTACCGCTCTTAACCACTACGCCACACTGGCTAAGTAAGAACATCACAAGCAGACACTTCACTCAGCACCAGAAATGTTGCTGTTCTGCAAAATGTCCCGTGTTCCTTTCCACCCTAGATCATTAAGCAATTTGTTTGCGGGGCGGAGGAAGGCTTGTCACACCCCAAAAATTGCAAAGTAAAAAAAGAATACCGCTCTCCAAAACCAAAGTGGATAATAGATGGATGGGAAAATGCCCAGAACATGTGCTCAGGTTTTAGCAGAATCCGAATTCTGGGAGATGCCCTTGTCCTATTCAAGCCTGATTTTCAAATACAGGAAACAAGATGAAGGTGATGTAACATTGCAAATTACAGTAATTTGGTCTGCCTCAAGGTATTAGGATCATAATGCACACGATTCATTCAACAGCCCCCGGAGACTGAATGATGATGCAAGCTATCAATTTCAGATGAAGATGCTGAGAAGCGAAATGGAACCTTTCCAGTTTATTTAAGGCAGAACACTCTAGGGTCAGGATCTAAAAACCCAAGAGCTTGAATTCCTGTTTTCAATTATCATTTCTGGGCTCCAATTCAGTGGCTAGCTAATTTTTACATTATTCCATAAGCTATGCACTTCAAAAGCACTTTGAAGCAGCTTTTAATTTTCGTCAAGGTTAGGACATGTGTATTTCTAAGAGTCTTCACTGTACCTTTGCCTGGGTGAGAGCTGCCTTCTTCACTTGCAACTGAGACTGCAGAAGTTTGAAGTTTTTGGACCAGCCTTCTGTTTTCGTATCACTGGTCTCCACTCCCAAATCATCATAAAGCGACATTTTCTTTCGAGCTCAGAGCTAGGAGTCAGAGAGGATGAGAAGGAACAAATCATATTATCATTTTACTCAAGAGTTGCCAGTGGTGCCCTTGAGGTCTTGCCCTGGTGCACAATAGCCTGAGTATACAACCTCCAACTGTTCCACTGTCAAACAGTTCTTAATGTCAGAAAAGTTCTTCCTGATGTTCAGCTGGAATGGCCTTTCCTTAACTTTCATCCATTCCTATTTGGGAATGGTCATAGCTCAGTGGTGCAGAATCAGTTTTGCACCGAGAAGGCTCCAGGTTCAATCCCTGAAATCTCTAGGAAGGGCCGAGAATGAAATCCAGGCGTGCTGCTACCAATAAGAGTTGCCCAGAGATAATAATAATTTTTTATTTTATTTTTTTTACAGTATACCCCGCCCTTCCCAGCTCAGAAAACCGGGCTCAGGGCGGCTAACAACAAATTTAAAACACCTAATTGATGCAACAAAAAACAGCATAAAATACAGTATGAAACGTGAAGAACAATAAATTCAGAATTCAAAAATCAATTTAGGGGGGAAATCCATCCAATAAACATTAGATGATCACCAGGGCTAGCTGGCTAAATCAGTCCTATTTGGGCCAGCGAGGAGACCAGGGGAGAATTAGCTGTGGGATCCCAGAGCGGGTAATCTTCATAAAAAGGGGAGGGGAAGGAAGGGGAATAAAAGATCAGGCTAAGTTCAAATTGAAAGCCAGGCGGAATAGCTCTATCTTACAGGCCCTGCAGAAGGAAGTTAAATCCTGCAGGGCCATGGTCTCATGGGACAGAGCATTCCACCAGGTCGGAGCTGTCACTGAGAAGGCCCTGCCCTGGTGGAGGATAATCTGACTTCCTTAGGGCCTGGGACCTCTAAACTGTGATCATTCATGGACCTTAAAGTCCTCTGCGGGGCAGACCAGGAGAGGGGAACCTACAGTCCTCAGGATACTGGACTACAACTCCCATGATTCCTGGCCACTGCCTATAATGGCTGGAACTCATGGCAGCTGGGAGTCCAAACCACAGATGCCCCAGCCCTGGTGCACATGTAGATACCGGAAATCGTGACTGCAAATGTCCAGACACCAAAAATAGCTTCTGCGCAGGCACAATTTCCGGCGTCTGGGCATGCGCAGAAGCGATTTCCAGCATCACGCTGCAACAGTCCAGCCCACAGACGATCTCCATGGGAGTGATCCGGCCCATGGACAGTAAACCTTGCCAACCCCTGGTGTAGATAAACTGATAGTTCAATTCTGTAAAAAGCAACTTCCTATGTTCTTAGGAGGGACGCGGGTGGCGCTGTGGGTTAAACCACAGAGCCTAGGACTTGCCGATTAGAAGGTTGGCGGTTTGAATCCCCGCGACGGGGTGAGTTCCCGTTGCTCGGTCCCTGCTCCTGCCAACCTAGGAGTTGGAAAGCATGCAGTACAAGTAGATAAATAGGTACCACTCCAGCGGGAAGGTAACTAGTGTTTCCATGCGATGCTCTGGATCGCCAGAAGCGGCTTAGTCATGCTGGCCACATGACCCGGAAGCTGTACGCCAGCTCCTTCGGCCAGTAAAGCAAGATGAGCGCCGCAACCCCAGAGTCTGCCACAACTGGACCTAATGGTCAGGGGTCCCTTTACCTTTACGTTCTTAGGAAGGGCCAGTGATATAGAGCACCAATTTTGCATGCAGAAGGTCCCAAGTTCAAGGGCCGGCATCTCCAAGCAAGGCTGGGGAAGATCCCCTGCCTGAAACTCTGGACAGCTGCTGCCAGGCAGTGCAAGCAATATGGAGCTAAATGGATCCAAAGTTCTGAGTATCAGGAAGCTTCCTATGTTCTTATTTATTAATGTTCCTACTGTTGCTAGCTCATTAGTATAGCATCAGTTTTGCATGCAGAAAGCCCCAAGTTCAATTCCCGGCATCCCCATCAGGGCTGTTAAAAGATCCCCTGCCTTTGCAACTACAGCAGCAAGAATGTTAGGTAAAGGTAAAGGACCCCTGACCATTAGGTCCAGTCATGGCTGACTCTGGGGTTGCGGCGCTCATCTCGCTTTATTGGCCGAGGGAGCTGGCGTACAGCTTTTCCGGGTCATGTGGCCAGCAGGACTAAGCCGCTTCTGGCAAACCAGAGCAGCACACGGAAACGCCATTTTCCTTCCCGCCAGAGTGGTACCTATTTATCTACTTGCACTTTGACGTGCTTTCAAACTGCTAGGTTGGCAAGAATGTTACTTGCCCACAAATGGAAAGAAGTAGAAGTCCCAGCAAAGGAAGAATGGATACAAAAACTTATGGAATATTCAGAAATGGCAAAACTTACCAGAAGAATAAGAAACCAAGATAACATACTTTTTATAAAAGAATGGAAACGGCTTATTGAATATTTACAGATAAATTGTAAACAGTGAAGAACGTTGGCAGCACTGTTGTAACCTGCAGTTTTATAAGAGTATATATTTAAAGTAGATGAATAAATGAGCAAATTAAGTTAATTAGGATATGCAGAAGATATTCAAAATAAATTTAAGGAGCCGTAGAAAGAGGGGGCAGGAAGTCAAGTTTTAAAATGTTAAAATGAATGTAAAATTAGTGAAAATGTATAACCCTGAAAAGCATAAATAAAAATAAGAGACTCCCTGCCTGAAACCCCAGAGAGCTGCTGCCAGTCCGTACTGGCAATACTAAGCTAGATGGACCCAAAGTTATGACTGAGTATACGGCGGCTTCCGATGTTTCTAATTGCTGACTGAGAGGCGCTCTGCACATGCTCAGGAACACACGCTACTGCCCGCAAAAAAAAGCCCATCAGAGGGACCCGATGTTTAAAATTAACCGTTTTTTCTCCCTTTTCCTTTCGAAATGAGGCTGCGATTATTTGTCACGAGGCGGAGCAGGCAAGCAAACCCGGTTCTCCGGTTAACCGCTTTCTCGCACACCCTTCAAAAAAACCGAGCGACAGCCGTCTCTCAGGCTGGATTCCTTTTCGTACTCCGAAGCCACTCAAGTCTGGCGTTTTACCTCTTCCCCGCGCGGCGAAGGCCTCCCAGTCCTTCCGTGCAGGCCTCAAAGCCGGGGCCTCGCGTAGGACCCGACGCCGAAGAAGGCGCCTCCTCTTCGGCCAAGAAAAGCTCCCGCGTCACGGCCAGCGCGAACCAATCAGGCTCTTTCTCCCTCGAAGCGCCCGCTAAGAGCGGCGAGCTAAGAGGGTGAAACGGCGGCTGCGCAAACGCCGGGCGGCCGGGTGGGAGGAGCCAGGCAAAGGACTCCGGCGACCCCACGGGCGGGAGGAAGTCTACGCCAGCCGCGTACGCAGGCGAGATGGGAACGCTACGGCCCACGAGTGGGCAGCGCGCGGAAAGGAGACAAAGCCATTTGCAGCCCTACTGGCGCTGCGCAAACTGCGTAGGGTGGGGGAAGTTCTCTGCTGACCCCTAGTGGCGCATTACTCAAAACACAAACCTCGCGAGTATTTCTTAGACCTCTTGATCTGTTTACATTTCCCCTCTTATAGCGCTCATCTAGCTATACGTGGACGGTCTTTTCAGTGTGATTGCACGCGTGAGCATGTATGCTCTCTTTCCTGCCCCCTCATCTGTGTTGTCTCTGACCTTCGAAAGTTTATGCCAAGTTCATGATTTTGTGTGTGTGTGTATGTATGTATGTATGTATGTACACACACACACACACACGACAAGGCTGTATATTTTCTCCCTGGTTATTTAACTTATATGCAGAATTCATCATGCAAAAGGCTGGTCTGGATGAATCCCAAACCGGAATTAAGATTGCCAGAAGAAATATCAACAACCTCAGATATGCTGATGACACAACCTTGATGGCAAAAAGTGAGGAGGAATTAAAGAATCTTTTAATGAGGGTGAAAGAGGAGAGCGCAAAACATGGTCTGAAGCTCAACATCAAAAAGACTAAGCTCATGGCCACTGGTCCCATCACCTCCTGGCAAATGTTGTTGTTTAGTCATGTAGTCCTGTCCGACTCTTCATGACCCCATGGACCAGCGCAAGCCAGGCACTCCTGTCTTCCACTGCCTCCTGCAGTTTGGTCAAACTCATAGAATCATAGAGCTGGAAGAGACCACAAGGGCCATCGAGTCCAACCCCCTGCCAAGCAGGAAACACCATCAGAGCACTCCTAACATATGGTTGTCAAGCCTCTGCTTAAAGACCTCCAAAGAAGGAGACTCCACCACACTCCTTGGCAGCAAATTCCACTGTCGAACAGCTCTTACCGTCAGGAAGTTCTTCCTAATGTTTAGGTGGAATCTTCTTTCTTGTAGTTTGGATCCATTGCTCCGTGTCCGCTTCTCTGGAGCAGCAGAAAACAACCTTTCTCCCTCCTCTATGTGACATCCTTTTATATATTTGAACATAGCTATCATATCACCCCTTAACCTTCTCTTCTCCAGGCTAAACATGCCCAGCTCCCTTAGCCGTTCCTCATAAGGCATCGTTTCCAGGCCTTTGACTATTTTGGTTGCCCTCCTCTGGACACGTTCCAGTTTGTCAGTGTCCTTCTTGAACTGTGGTGCCCAGAACTGGACACAGTACTCCAGGTGAGGTCTGACCAGAGCAGAATACAGTGGCACTATTACTTCCCTTGATCTAGATGCTATACTCCTATTGATGCAGCCCAGAATTGCATTGGCTTTTTAGCTGCCGCGTCACACTGTTGGCTCATGTCAAGTTTGTGGTCAACCAAGACTCCTAGATCCTTTTCACATGTACTGCTCTCAAGCCAGGTGTCACCCATCTTGTATTTGTGCCTCTCATTTTTTTTGCCCAAGTGCAATACTTTACATTTCTCCCTGTTAAAATTCATCTTGTTTGTTTTTGCCCAGTTCTCTAATCTGGTAGCTTCGAGAACTTTACTGTTGCTATTTAACAACTGGGAGGCCAACATCCTTGCTGATCTACTGCAAGTCACCCAGAGATCTACCAGTAAGTAGATCCTGATTTACCTTCTGCCTTTCTCTGGAAACAACGAAGAAAAACTTTTAAAAAACAAATGAGGAACTCTGGGGCTTGAGAAATAAGCGGGGGGGGGGGGTGTGCGACGGGGAACCAGTCATCCCAGAAGCATTTATATAAATTCAGTTGTGCTTACAAATGTTCAACTACTGAGAGGCAGAAATATTTACAACTCTCTTGCAAATCACTTGGATCTACCAGTAGATTCTTATCAAACTTCTGGCCAATCCATAGCATTGGAACTGCACTCCATATGAACTGAGCTGTATTTCAAGGCAAGCCTTAGCATGCATGCAGCAGTGCCTTGGATCAGACCCAGCTCTTGTTTTAGTTTTAATAAATACTGCTCATGTTTATTGTATGCCTCCCAGAAACCAGTATTCTGCCCTTTCAGGGCCTGCCACTGCTATTTCCCATCACCCCCCGCTTTAACAGGTGAGATTCAACCAACTGAGGATGAATGCTCATTGTCATAATAGCCTCCCTGTCAACAAATCATAACAAGCCCTCCATAAAGTCTGGGCATAGTCTATGTTAAGTTGTGGGTGAACATATCAGATGACACAGCAATTCTTCAAACAGCTCTTGTTTATTCACAGGCCAGAACTGAACTGAACGGAAGGGTTCAGCCAGCCTGCTTATATAGAGCTCGACTACAACGCAACAGTAACCACTTTCTGTAACTATCCAATCACTGAACGTCGCTTTCGATACCTTATTTGCATATGTGGACCTGAGTGGAAACTATCTACAGTATCCCCCTGCTGGCCCAGGGTGAGAACTTCAGTACATAACAGTCCAACTTCTGAGTAAGGCTTGTGCAAGCAAATTGGGACCAATCCTCCATAAAGAGGTTGGCCTGAGAAGCTTGTGTCAGCTCAGTTGGTTAGAACATTGTGCTGATAACGCCAAGGTTGCAGGTTTGATCCTCATATGCGACAGTTGCATATTGGACTAAACGGTTCTCAGGGTCCCTTCCAATGCTACAATTCTATGATTTTAGATGTGGGACTTGATGGTCTTTTGATGGGATCCTATGCACAAGAAGCTGGCATAAAGAAACCCAGTAAAAATTAAACTGGATTGAAACGTTCAGCAGTGAGGCTGCTGCTCTGCCGAAGTCTGGCAGAGGGGAAACAAGTCTTTAAAATACTGTTCTGTGCCTGGTTGACAGACCAGGTTTAAGATCCTGTCTAAGTCCCCACCTATGCCCCCGTTGTGCTCCCAAGACTGTATTTTACTATCTTATACTTGAAACTTTTGCCTGCTTCCCTCTTGCTGCTTTCCTGATTCGGTATGAAGTGCGCTCTTACAGAACCACGGGAACCAGCCTTTTGCCCCATATTGCCTACACGGACTGGCACCAGCTCTCCTAGATTTCTGGCAGGGGGTCTATCCTATCCCAGCCCAACCTGAAGATGCTAGAGATTGGACTTGATGTCTTTTGCATGCACAGCAGACGCCCTAGGTAAAGGTAAAGGGACCCCTGTAAAGTGAACCCCGCCTCCTAAATTAGATAGCTAAAATGAAGAAAGCTGGAGGAATAACCAGGAATTGATTTGTATGTGGAAAGATTGTAGGTTTCCCTTTAATAGCTATGGAATTGCAAAGTGTTTTAATTCTTTACTCCAAGGAAACGCAGCAAGTTGAATTGTGAGACAATGGCTTTCTTTCTGAGAGATATAAGGGTTGGAGGGGGTCTATTTTTTCTTAGGATTGATTCCTGCATTGCAGGGAGATGGACTAGAGGAGACTTTGGGTCCCAACTCTACAGTTCTGATTCAAACATTTTGAATGGAACTGACAACAACATATGTTGGTTTTGTTTGAGTACTGTTTTTTATATGGTCCACAGAGCCTAGGACTTGCCGATCAGAAGGTCGGCGGTTTGAATCCCTGCGACAGGGTGAGCTCCCATTGCTCGGTCCCTGTTGCTGCCAACCTAGAAAAAAAGTCAAAGTGCAAGTAGATAAATAGGTACCGCTCCAGCGGGAAGGTAAACGGCGTTTCCATGCGCTGCTCTGGATCGCCAGAAGCGGCTTAGTCATGCTGGCCACATGACCCGGAAGCTGTACGCCGGCTCCCTCGGCCAATAAAGCGAGATGAGCGCCGCAATCCGAGTCGGTCACGACTGGACCTAATGGTCAGGGGTCCCTTTACCTTTACCTAAGTATCATACTGGGATGGGTATTGTATTTATTTATGCATTCATCATGCGAACTGGGGTCAAGAATGGCAAGGGGGGGGATAGAAATTTCCGAAATAAATGACTGAAAATTAAATCTGACACTAGGAACAGAGCTTTTCCAGAAGAAAAGGGTTCCTCAACCAAACATCTCACCTGGACATTGTTTCCTACAAACTTGCTATGTACTGGGTCCAAATTGTCTGTTGTAGGAAACATCCTTCCTGCAAGAGTAAATAAAGCTGTTTCCAAGAGTTAAGGTTAGATTTGTGTGTGTGTGTGTGTGTGTGTGTGTGTGTGTGCAGTGACATTTATATAACTTTAACTTACAAGTCTACTTAAAATCACAAAACTGTATAAATGTTCTGCAGCTTTGGATTGCATTAATGCAGGCACGGCCTTTATCATTTATTCTTGACCACAATGAAAACAAAGCCGCCCCTGTGGTTTGTTTCGGCTCCAATCGGGTGTCACGCTGAGCAAGCTGCACACTGTGCTTTTGTTTTCTTTTATAAGTGAAGCCCTAATTAAAATAGCTGCTGGCATCTGCACATGGGCAGAGAACAAAAAGACGTTTGAGAACTGTCAAGAGCACGCAGTGCTTCGCGAGATGCATTAATGGTTTGACTTCGCCCAAGGCAGTCTCATAGAGAAAAACAAGTTTAAGAGGAGGAAAATTGGTTCCATCCTCTTGACATTTATTTTCCTACAAGAGAATTGGTGGTCTATGCTGGCTTTGGAATGGACGATAGTACTATTATCTTTGCAGGGTCTCCTCCAACCCTCTGTCCAGGTTCTACTTCAGCACAATTTCTAAGCAACAATAGCATGCATTTATTATTTGCAAAGGACAGAAGCCAATCTGATTGAGGTTGAATCCTGACAAGACAGAAGTACTGTTTTGGGGGGACAGGGAGCGGGCGGGTGTGGGGGACTCCCTCATCCGGAATGGGGTAACTGTGCCCCTGAAGGACCAGGTGCACAGCCTGGGAGTCATTTTGGACTTACAGCTGTCTATGGAGGCGCAGGTTAATTCTGCGTCCAGGGCGGCTGTCTACCAGCTCCACCTGGTACGCAGGCTAATATATTTTGCCCGCAGACTGTCTCACCAGAGTGGTGCATGCTCAAGTTATCTCCTGCTTGGACTACTGCAATTCAAAGTGTTGGTGCTGACCTTTAAAGCCCTAAACGGCCTCGGTCCTGTATACCTGAAGGAGCGTCTCCACCCCCATCGTTCAGCCCGGACACTGAGATCCAGCGCTGAGGGCCTTCTGGCGGTTCCCTCATTGCGAGAAGTGAGGTTACAGGGAACCAGACAGAGGGCCTTCTCAGTAGTGGCGCCCACCCTGTGGAATGCTCTCCCTTCAGATGTGAAGGAAATAAGCAGCTATCCTATCTTTAAAAGACATCTGAAGGCAGCCCTGTTTAGGAAGTTTTTAATATTTAATGCTGTATTGTTTTTAACACTTGATTGGGAGTTGCCCAGAGTGGCTGGGGAAACTCAGCTGGATGGGTAGGGTATAAATAATGAATTATTATTATTATTATTATTATTATTATTATTAGTATTAGTATTATTATTATTCTGGAACTGACCAAGGTATTGAGGTTGATGAGAACATCTTATGCATGTTCAAAATGCACTAACTCCCAGAACTGGGTTAAGAACTAGCTTTGCCTGAGAAGTTAGTTCTAAGCACAGGAATAATCGCACCACACCAAATACAGTAAAATCGGTAACAGATAGCATATGGCCACATTTCTTCAGTAATACTCTCTCAGGAAAGTAGCACAAATCTGTGAAATGTCACCTGTCCCCAAAAAAGGATTTTTAGGTTTTCATATAATTTAGTTGAGACTAACCCTGCATCTTAAGAAGCAGAGACATCACCTTGCCGACAAAGTGGGGATTCGAACCCTAGTCCCCCCGCTCTGCCTAACACTCTCACCACTACAGAACACAAAGCACTTTTACAACTGATTGAGCAACCTTGAAGTCAAACATCATTCATCATTTTCTCTCACTCGAGGCAAAAAGTTTTAACTCTTCTTTGAAGTCCAAGACCGCACAGCACACTACTTTTAAAAGCTTATTTGCTCTGTGTGGATGAAGGGATCATCAGTCGGCCTGAAGAGCCAGAGGGAAAAAGGTCGCTATCATCTGTGTGCTACTACTGATCTTTGTAAACTGAAGTTGGGAGGAAATGCTTTAAAATGATCACAAGATAAGTCCCACCGGGCATAAGCAGCTCCTTCTCTGGACCTTTGCCAAGATGCTTGTTAAGCGAAGGCTGGATGCAGATGCTGAGAGAGATGAAATCTTGAAGGCAAATACTCAACTACAACTTTAATCAGTCAAAACAGTTTTACCACAGAAGTGTAATTACCAGAGATGATATCTGAACAAATGCACAAGTAGCTTCTCCCTGACGGGCATTGTATAGCATCACGCACCCCAGATTTCAAAGCACTTTTTGTAGTAGGATGTTCACAGGAAAAAACTGCATAAACTAGCTTTTTGCTGTATTTTGCCCTTACTCATGTGCCCATCAGTGGTGGTCGCATGTGCAAGATAAGGCTTCTAAGCCTAGCTTACTTAATATTCTAGTTTTCTATGCGCAAGGAGTTTGTGACATATCAGGCAGAGCATTAAAAGAATACTACAATTATTTCCATGAGGTATTATAGGTTTATTTCTTTGAAGCCATATACTTTTATTAAGCATTAAAAATTCACATACAAAACCAAAACCCAGCTCTTCATATATTAACAAAACATGAACCATCATTCTGAAAAGGAGGTGCTGTGCTTAAAATTTCTTCTGTTAAGATACAACCCATGCCCAATAAATTGTACACTGCCAAAAAGTAAAAGTAACGCATTATAGCCACTGAGATTGTGTCTTTGGGAAACAATTATTTTTTTTAAAAAAACAACAACTTCCATCATGAAAGTTAAGTACACAGACTTGAAAAAAGGGTAAACCATCATTACACAAGGCAAAAATGTTATATATCATTCAAAACTTTTATAAAGAGATGTGGAAAAGTACCTAAAATAGTTTCTTCTTGTATAAAATTTCAGTAATAAAATATTGCTTACAATAAATAAGAAATGTAGATTTCATGAACACTGGTTGCGCCATCATTCACTTTGTACCTAAAAACTGCATTTCATCAGCTAGCGCTCCAGGCTATTTACAGGCAGTCAGAAGTCTTTGTTAAGTCACACCAAAGTATTTATCATCAGTGCCTGGAAGGAACGTAACTAATTTTGGGAGGAGATTAGATGACTTCCAGAGCCAAACTAGTCTCCAGTGCACTTTTCCTCCTCCTCCTCCTCATCTTCTTCTTTTAAAAAAGAGCACTGTATGTAACTTCCATTGCGTTTTGCAATGCATACATGTTTAGAATTTTCCAAAATACTGCTTGAGTATGTAACTGCATGAGATAAGATTAACAAAGCGGGGAAAGGCAAGCTTTGCTGCAGCTATATGGAGATATTGGATTTCATTGCTGCCCGTCCCATCTGTAGACATGGCAATTTTGAACAGTTCTTTAGCAGCTGCTCAATAGCAATGTGACGGACATTAAGCTGTGAAGCCAAGGAGTCTTTTTCTTGTACTTGCTTAGTCAGCTCTTCAAACACATCTGAAATAAATATCAGCATCAAGTTAGTCCATGATTTCAGGAAGTACACCCATCACTTTGCAATTCTGTTGTGTCATTTACAAGATACTAAAAACAAAATGAAAGTTGTGAACCTAAAAATCAGTAACCTAGAGCCCTTTCTGTCAGTTTGCATTTCTTAGTACAGAAAGTATTGATCTGATGTGTAGAGAGATTTCCTTTTCTACTTAATTCAAGAGGGTTCCGGAAGCTTCTCTGTGTGAAAGAAACAAGCAGAAGGCTCATGATGTTTGGGTTATTCCTTCAGAGAAGCTGAGTACTGCTGGCTTAAACTGTTTCCGTTATCTTTTTCTGTCAAGATCATGCTGACTATAATAATAAGGCCAGAAGAAGCCTGGGCTTCCCTTTCTATCTCTCTTCCTTCTGGTGTGGTGTTCTGTATATAGTGTTAAGGTTTAGTCTTATTCTAAGTTATTGTAGGTTTAAGTAAAGTCTGCCGCAACTGGATTTCTTATGGACAGTGCCAATCCTGAATGTATTGGATTTGTGACCAATATGCTCATTTGCCTTCAGTAGCAGTAAAGCTCTGCTGGATGAAATATTACTTGCCTCTGGTCTATTTTCTGGGAATCCTGCAACGTGTTTAAGTTTTTACTCTGCTAACTATAAATTGGGATTCTATTCTGGATCAATATATTAGCAGAATACATGACACTTTCTAGAATGCAGATGGATGCTTTTACATTGTAGTCTCCAAAATTAATTTGTTTCTATTTCCCAAGATTTCTACCTTTTTCATGGGAAAAGAGAAAAAAGTGTATTTTCTACACTTAAAACTAGCAGTGTCTTTTTCCTTTATGTATTTATTTATTTTGGGGAGGACCAATCAATAGGCAAATATTAAAATTCACCTTACCCTGGATTTGCTGGAGAAGTTTCCCATTCAGCTGTTCCACCTCTGCAAGAGTCATCTTACTCACTGAAACAAGAAAAAAAAAACATAAGCCACCAGACAAAAGAGAGTGGGAGGGGAAGCAAAGGAGGGGTGACCTACAGAAAAGTTTTAACAAACCATTTTGAAGGGTAACCAAGACTAACATAACTGAATGTTGGGCTTCTTCATTCTACTGTAGTGACAAGTCAGAAAAATGGAAAGCAGCAACATACTTAGGGTATTAATGTTCAGAAGAACATGGCAACCCTAAATACCCAGGAGTGAAAAAGTGCAAGACTTAAGTTCATAAAGGTAAAGGGACCCCTGACCATTAGGTCCAGTCGCGAACGACTCTGGGGTTGCAGCACTCATCTCGCTTTATTGGCTGAGGGAGCCGGCGTACAGCTTCCAGGTCATGTAGCCAGCATGACTAAGCCGCTTCTGGAGAACCAGAGCAGCGCACGGAAATGCCGTTTACCTTCCTGCCACAGCAGTACCTATTTATCTACTTGCACTTTGAGGTGCTTTCGAACTGCTAGGTGGGCAGGAACAGGGACCAAGCAACGGGAGCTCACCTGTCATGGGGATTCGAACCGACGACCTTCTGATCGGCAAGCCCTAGGCTCTGTGGTTTAACCCACAGCACCACCAGCGTCCCGATAGCGCCACCCGCATCCCTTAAGTTCATACAACTGCCTTAATGTGAATTTGTGCCCTTTCTATGTCACATCCCATGAAATCACACTCTTATCTGGTCAGGGTTATAAACATCCCTTTGGGGGAAATAAATGGGAAGATGTCTGTGGCCATAAAAACTGAACAGGCTTAACAGACTCTTGCTTGTTATCAGTTCCCCACCCACCAGCACACAGCAGAATTTCTGCACCCTTCAAAGCTGCTCCAGGATTGCAAAACCTTTACTAGACACTAAATTAAGCATTCAAAGAGATCGATATTACTGGATTAACAGTGTCGTCTCATACATGTTTCCCCAGAAGTAAGTTTCCATACACTCAATGGAGCTTACTCCCTTGTAAATGTCATGAGGCTGCAATCCTAAACACAACACAAAATCTGCTGATTTAAAACGAAGTATTTACATTTACGGGTTCTATGCTTGTGAACTCAGAAGACCTCCCTCCTTCTGCTTAAGTGTTAATCGCTGGAGTGAATCCACGGTGCCAATGAAACACTCAAAGATAAATACAATTTTAGTGTTTGCACATCAACTCAAAAAGGAAGACTTCCCTTGTTTCATGGTGCATTTGACAATCAGATACTAGCAAACAACATTTACTCTTTTCCCATTTCCAGTGACTTTCAGATGACAAAGTCTGATTACTAAAAGCTATTAAAAATGCCTTTATAAAGATTTAGAACAAAAATATCGAGACACATAAGCATAAGCACTTCTTCCACTTACATTGCTCCCTGCTGTACTGCTGGTGTCTTCTTTGGACCTGGGTATCTGGACCTGTTTCAGCTTTCCCAATCTCTGCTGACTGGTCGTGACTAGACCACAATGAACTACTACAGTGTAAGGTAGCACCTGCTTGCTGCAACATATCAAGTCTAAAATCGTTGGATTCTCTTGGTTCTAGAATACTGTGTGAACAGTTTGAAATACTCCCGGAATTTCCATCTATCCATTTTGCAGAGTATTTAGGAACTTGGGAATCAAATTGTGGCAGTAGCTTTCTCTCTCTCTGATGTCTAAAGCCAAACAGCTGATGCTGTGCTTGCTTCGAACTTTCAGTATCCAAATCCAAATCTTTGTTTTGTGCATACTGTATAATCCAGTTAATTTTTTTGCTCAGTATGTTTTTCACTTCTGCATATGTGCTCTTGGAGAGTTTTGACTGTGGGCAACTCTGGTTTGCTATTAAGTGGAATTTCTCAAAACAGTCTCTGTGTCCCCTTAATGATCTTGTATGCAGAAGATCAGACTTTGGTATTCCTGAGGGGAGAAAAAAGTTACAAGTGAACACTGTAATTCAATTATATTAAATTGTAGGCTGCAGATATTTTAAGAAGTAATCGGCACTCAATGAAGACTAGACACAGGTTGCAAGGACACAAGGTTGATAAAGAGGTAATTTTCTGTATCTCATAGTCACTTAATTTTTCTCATAAGCAGCTCAAAGAGTTATTCACACCCCTATATAATGAAATAAAATCATCTCCACTTCCACAACCTCGGCACCTAGGAACTACCACAGAGGATCAGTCTAAGCGACTAAGAGGAAGCTAAATATACCAGTGATGGGAATCCCCAAGTAACAGGACCCACCTGGCATAATGACCAGTTTTGCTTGGATTCAGCATCAAGTATGACTCCATCTGGTATCGTTCAACTTGTTCCATATATCACATATGAAGGGAGCACATGGCACTGTAGTCTAAACCACTGAGCCTCTTGGGCTTGCTGATCAGAAGGTCAGCAGTTTGAATCTGTGTGACGGGGTGAGTTCCAGTTGCTCTGTCCCAGCCAACCTAGCAGCTCTAAAGCACACCAGTGCAAGTAGATAAATAGGTACTGCTGGGACGGGAAGATAAAACGATGTTTCCGTGAGCTCTGGCTTCCATCACGGTGTCCCGTCGCGCCAGAAGCGGTTTAGTCATTCTGGTCACATAACCTAGAAAGCTGTCTGAGGACAAATGCTGGCTACCTTGGCCTGAAGCGAGATGAGCACCACACCTCATAGTGGCCTTTGACTGGACTTAACCATCCAGGGGTCCTTTACCTTTTACCTACGTTATATCACACATAAACCAAACGGAATCCTATTAAGACTAAGGCAGGAATTTATAGACTACAGGAATACAGCCGTCCAGCTGTGCCCCTATCTGGACAAGGATAGCCTAACTTCTGTCGTCTATGGTTAACATCTCTAAGTTAATGTTTCCAGCAAAAAATGCTAAGTACTATACTGAGATAGCTAGAGTCACTCAGGGCATCAGCGCCTTTAATATGGCACCAATAGTCTTTCACAGGACTGGAAAGTGATCCTTTGTAGAATCACTGGACAGAATCTGTTATCTAAGCACCTTTAAATAGGCTGGATTTTGACTAGGAAAAGCTCTGCGAACATCTATCATAAAGCAGATTATGCAACACATGTATGAATGTGAAATAAAGAAGTGTGGCAGTGCTGCAACTGTAATTCCACCGAGCAAAAAATGTGCTGCTGTTTTCACCAGAAGGACTACAAAAACAATTTTGTTCCATTCTACACATGGGGTTTGTCTCTCATCTATAGGAATTTGTAAAGAATAAATCTAATCTTCCTTCTCAATCTCATTGAGAAGCTCACTTATTTCACATATGCTGCCACCCCAAAAAACATGGATTTTCACATTCTGCACCCCAACAGCCAACAGAAGCTGTGTTCATACATTACACGGAACCCTAGTTGATTCCAGCATGGTCTTACTCCTGGCCATGCAAAGCAAAGTTCATGGTTTGTTTCCCTCAAACAAACCTTGGCTGCTGCTTGTGCTGTGTTTGGAGAAGACTCAAACCAGGAGCATGGAGAAGAAATAAGCCATGAACTCACGTTTGACTAACACAAGAAGAAAAGCTTTGTGCTTCGTTGCTTCTAGCATGGCCAGGAGCAAAATGTGGACTTTTGAGTAAATTCATTAAATTTACACAACTTGATTGCAAAAAACCTCAAAGCTGCTTGTTTCAAGTTAAACCATAGTTAAGCATTATGTATGATGCACTAGAATCTTTATGGAAGTTTTCAACTGAGCGTATAACACCTGCAATAAAGTGACAGTACATTGGCTGAGCAGAATTTATTCTGAAGAACAGCTGACTTTTTAAAACGAGTAAATAATATTTATATTAGTTCTCTCAGTCTACTGTGATTCTGCCACTCAAGCTCATGGTATTGTTTAAAAATATTTAAAGACATTTATATCAATATATTAAATTCAGCAAATACCCTGTATAAATGCCTCACCAACACCGTAAGGGACTGTGCCAGAAAATCAAGAAGCAATGATTTCCGGCAGCTTATTACTGTGCAAGCAAATTAGCCTGTGGTACTGCTGGTTCTGAGTATGGAAAAATGCAGTCTTACCAAGACATTTAGGCATTCAGCCATACTGGCATAAGGCATTTAGCCAGTATGTTAACTCTGAAGGATTATCTCCCTGTAGAGTTGTAACTGAACTGACAAGCAGCTCTCAGCCAGCAGCTACTTATATTATGCCTGGGAGGACCCTCTATATTTGAAAAGCTTTAATTAAAATGCTGAAAGGGAACTCATGCCCCAACATATTTCTATCTTGGCTAAATATAAAACAGATGCTTAGAACAGCAAGCATATACATGTAAAGAAAGCAGGAACTAAATCATCTGCTTTTCAAGAAGTATTTCAGAACAGGTGCAGATGTATTTTGAAGTAGGCATTTATTCTTTTCTACAGCCTTCTACAATGGAAGATCTCATTATATGGAACAGCCAGCATCAGCTTTTGTACCCAGCTCATGTTGCTGTGTTACACAATAGCTGCTGGGCTTGTTTTCTCTTTGTGTGCAAGTCTCTAATCCAAAGAGCTATGCTAGCAGCTGGGCAAGTTCAAAGAGCCATGAACAGGCACACACACAGCTTTGATGCCAGGACTTGCCAGCTAGCTGTTAACATCCATCGCCACCCTTTCTCCAGGTTGGATGGCACCCAAGTTTTTATTTCCTTAGATGCAATTATCCCTAGGTGGCTGATAATTAAGTAAAAGGCCATTTTAGGATTTTGCTTTGTTGCTGTGTGCATGTGGAGAGGTAGATTTTGTAAAGGTTTTTTAACGGATTTCTATCTAACTCAATGGGATGATTAATCAAATTTAAAAAGCAAGCTGTATGGAGTAATTATTCCTTAACTGATTAAAAGAGATGGTTTGAAGTGTTTTTACTGCAAAGTAATAGTGTGAGTGAATTAATCAATTGATCAGAACTTGAGAGCCAGTGTGGTGTAGTGGTTAAGAGCGGTGGACTCGTAATCTGGTGAACTGGGTTCGCTTCCCCGCTCCTCCACATGCAGCTGCTGGGTGACCTTGGGCCAGTCACACTTCTTTGAAGTCTCTCAGCCCCACTCACCTCACAGAGTGTTTGTTGTGGGGGAGGAAGGGAAAGGAGAATGTTAGCCGCTTTGAGACTCCTTCGGGTAGTGATAAAGCGGGATATCAAATCCAAACTCTTCTTTTTGTTTTGTTTCAGGGGAATTGTTACCAAGATAACAGGCCATTAAGATACAGGTCTGGAATGATCATACGACTGCATTCAGTCTAACCCACTGCCTTATTTTATTTACTTATTATAAAATTTCAACCCAACCCCTGCCGCCCAAAAGAGCCCAGAGTGTGAAACACAGCAACAAAGCAATCCAATTTAAAAATAAAACAAACAACACCTAAAAACCATTTGAAAACAGTCCGGTTTCCTTACAGCTAATAATTTGCAGATTGGGAGAACTTTGGAGCCACCTTTGGAAGAGAATGAATAGCAACAAGACATCTTCCCAACTTTGAGCTGAACCTTGTGAGCCCAGCCAGGGTAAGCAGGACACTTGCCCTGGAACCCAAACAAAGCAAACTGGTTTGGTTCTTAAGTCATTTTTCTTCTCTCCATTTTACTAGCAAGCCAACAAACCCTTCAGAATGCTGCAACAGCACTGTTTTTAAAAACTGTTCTTTGCCAAGTACTTTGCTGCAGGATATAACATAGAAAGTCCTGCACAAACCAGCGGCCAGTGTAGTCCATTGTTCCTGTGACAGCACTCAGAAAAAGTAGAGTGCTTTCTACTTCTGGTACCAAGTAAGATTTTAGTAACAACTACTCAGTATTTATCTGCCCGATCATTAGATTCCATATAGGGCAAACTAGGGAAAGGGGATCTATTTGTTGTTATAGATCAACAATCCTCAATCAGCTTTGCTGCCTAGACTGGTATTTAAAAAACAGCATTGACTGTAGTCTGGTAACCTTTGTTGCCTCAAATAAATATGATGCAAAACTCTAAAGTAATTTGTGCAGGAAGGATATTACTGGATGGAACACCAGCAAATGTTTATTACTACAGAAATGTGTTTAGACTTGTTTACTTGGGACTTGTTCATCTCTTACGAAATACAGTTCATGACAAAATGCACATGCTTCCACTTGTCTTTTAGAATATACAATACTGTAGAGAAACGTACAATTTAACTCTTCTTCTAGGTCAAATTTCCATTGTTTGGAGCCCACAAACCCATTACTAAAGAGAGGTTAAACTTCATATTTCAACACAGCACTGTTTATTCTAAAGACAAGTGGGAGACCAAACATTTGTCAAGAAATGTATTTTGCAAGACACAAACACGTATTTATGAAGGCTGGAACTGTAACAAAACTGAGAACAAGGGAAATTGAAATCGGCAAGTAAATGCGTGCTTAGAAACGCACAGGTGCTTATTTAAAGACTGGGCAAATGTGAGTATCGGTTAACTAAACTAGCAGTCCTTCAAATCCTGATTATCAGATTATAAAGTTACAAAAAGCTCAAGAGTAAATTACTGTAACTATTTTTTACAGGGCTCACATGCATATAGTACAAGCCCAATAGGTTTGAGTTGTATTCCGATCCTCTCTTCTCCAAACTGAGTGATTATTTTTTTTAATTCACACAAACACCCTGTGAGGGAGATGGAGCTTAAAGTTAGCATTTTGCTTAATACCATAAGGTAAATCTCAAAGCATAACAGGGATGTGAACGCAGGTTTCGTGTGTCTGAATTAAGACTTTAGTAGTGGCATCAAGCTAACCTGACAGTCATGCTGGATCCTTACAAGTTTTCAGCTCGAAAATATTTTAAACCATTGCTAGGAAACAAGACTAGCAAGAGTTTCTGCTGCACACTGACAGGCTCTAAATGACAGCCAACATTATTATCTGTCTGTGTTTCATTTCCCTCAGACCTCACTAAGATTTTGTCTCTCAACACTCAGTGTTTATATACCTGTGACCATATATTCCATTCCATATATTAAAGGGTTGCTGGGGGGTTTTTGGTGGCTTACAAACATTGTTAAATAAATAAAATCTGATATGGGAAAGCTTATGCTATAATAAATTGGTTTGTCTTTAAGGTGTCACAAAACTCAGTTGTTTTTACAGATGGCTACTCCATCTGGCAATGACATAATGTGGTTGCTAAGAAACAGTAGGTTATCCTGCATTTAGATCCTTAAACCCTGAAAAAGTCCAACAAGTGATCTGTATTATTTAGTGATACTTTTGAATTTGTCTCTATTACTGTAGATGTTTTTTAGTGGATAGGACACTACAGAGAATTTTCACAAATATACTAACAGTTAAAATGTTGTATTTATTTACTACTTTTCTAGTAAAAGAGACATTCTTCCAATAATAAGAATTTCCTTTCAGAATTTCCCAAAGCCTCAATGGCGCAGTATTATTATTCAATGTGAGGCTACACTTACCTTCAATGTTTAGCTCAAAACAAATGTGGCAGAAGGAGAGAGTCTCTCTTTCTGTTCCTAACTTGCACACGCTGCAAACATTATCATCGTTCAAGTCAATGTTAACAAACTGCTCTTCGTTCATAGTGTCCCTAAAAGAGAAAATGCCCTGTTACCCAGTGAAGGCTGAAGAAAACCACATCCTAGCACTAACCACAACCTAAATTTGAACATATGGTAATACACCTGAGAGTTTCTATTTTCCATTTCCCATAGATTTTAAACTGAAGCCTTATTTCTAGACATCCTTTATTCTACATTTTCATAATTTCAAGCCTACAGGATTAGTATCCTCCACATTTGGTTTGCTCTACATGGCCTAAATACTTTAAAACTCACTGAGCGAGTGCTTAAATTATATGCTCTTCTGTAGTTCTCTAACCTGATATGAAAGGAAAACAATGCCCTTTGACATGCTCACTATGTTTTTCCTGTGAACAATTAACTGTATTTAAGGATTTAAAATATTTGTGCCAATTCAATTTGGCAGTCACAGATGTATTTTGCATTCTTGTCACTTGTCTAAAAACATGAACACATCACAACTTGCAGTTTTTATTTTAATATTTATATTCCGCTTTCCACTACGTAGGTCTCAAAGTGGCTTACAGCAATAAAATATACTACACACAAAGTTTACCCCACAAATTAAGCCTCTAAAGTTTAAATCTAAAAAAGAAAAGAAAAATGTAAAACTTCTGAGAAGCTTCCAGGGTACAAAGGCCTCCTGAAATAAAACAGTTCTGACCAGATGTCTGAAACTCAGTAGGGGCAGTGGCTGTCTTAACTTCTTGTGGGAAGGAGTTCCACAGAGCTGGGCCCACAACAATGCCTCCAAAATCATCTGAAGCCTATACTGTACATGTTTTGCCTTACACATTTTCCAAACACGGCTGGCACTGTGAGTATTAATCTGGAATAGTTAACAGGCTCGATCACATCTCCTGTGCAATACACTAGTGTTGTAATTACGGATTGTAATGTCATTTGGCTTGAACATCCTGTTTAAACTACATTCAGTATAAGGCTTGGATTCTGCAGGGACAACCATGCCGAATAATGTATGACGATGATTTTCAATTCATCAGGTTGCTAATATAAAGGGTAAGTTAATGAAACCCAGCATCCTCTGTAGTAAATTGAAATTGTTTCTCTCTCAAACTGTTCATTAGCTATTAAGAGTCTATTAACTATGCAGAACATTCATTTGAGTTTTACTTAAGGCCTTCAAGAGATTTGAAGTACTCTGTTTACTACCCACAGAAACTAAAACCAGGATTCTATGAGGCTGGTTTTTCTAGAGAGGACTGGGACTGCATACACACTATACATTTAAAGCACCGCCACCCCAAAATAATACGGAAACTATTCCATTAATGGTGCTGGAAACTGTAGCCCTGTGAGGCATAAACTACAACTCCCATGGGGTATTGTTTTTTTATTATTATTATGTTGTGTATTTTGTGTTTTGTATACTGTATACCACTCTGTGATCCTCAGATGAAGGGCGGTACATAAATTAATTTTGTTGTTGTTATTATTAATCATGTGTATGCAACTTAGGTCATCTTTTTACAAAAAAGAAATCAAAACAAAAGAATATAGAGAACTGGCCAATAGTGCTTTCTGTGGTTATCAACCTACATCTTTGAGAATCAAGGCATCACACTGGCTCATCTTCCAGGAGAAATACATGTCACCCTTAATATTTTTTTCAAATTTGCTCGCTTTGACAGAGCCAATAAGGATTGTCCTTTCGACAAGTCTCCCTTGTCTTAAAAATTAAACAGAAAATAAAGCTAACTTCTTATCCCCACTCCCTGAAATGGTGCTGGCTGTGGCAACGGACATGTACTTAACACATGCTCAGAGTCCCATGTTTTTCAGTAAAAGTGGTAAATCCACAGCACACCAAACCTTGTTCGATTCCAAAAACCCACCAGCCCAGGCAATAGTCAGGGATGAAGGGGATTGTGATCCAGCAGTATTTGAGGGCAGCATGCTCCTCATCTCATCATTAAGCAGGTAGGGTGGATTTTGAATGCTGTTGGGTGGTTTTTGTGGATCAACACTTTTAATGGATTTGTATGATTGCTGGCACTGCAAATTGCTTTGGTAGTCCTTTGTGTGAAGCAATACATAAGAAGAATAAATCTAACCTAATCTCTGCCCTACAAATTAGCAATTGGGTTCAGGTGCTGGGATCGTAATTTTAGTTTCAAAATTAAACCATGTCACTTAATTAAATAAGGCTGCTCCATTACTCACTCTGCCTCCTCGGTACTATTCAGAATATTATATTAGCTAGAACCAAGTGGGAGTTTCAGGGCTAAGAAGGGTTTAGGACCAAGTTGCTGCCCAGATGGGGTGACTGCCTGGGAAACACATCAATGCTGCCTTGGGGGTGGGGTGTTTGTGCGCAAGTAAATAAAAATAAGTGAAGAACCACAATTAAGAGCGGAAGGTTGATGGGGAAGCAATTAACATGCGGGGAGAAGTGGATTCAGCACAGCCTCAACATTTCCTCCATGGCAGATTTCACAAGCCACCTAAACACTCCCCCCCCTCAAAAAAACTAGTCATAAATATGGCTCCAGCACTGCCAAAATCTACCAGGATGTAGATTTCCCTAAACATGCCTCCACACTACATTCAGTATATGGCTTGGATTCTGCAGGGGTGACCATGCTGAATAATGTACAGTGGTGATTTTCAATTCAATTCAAGGCTGCTAATATAAAGAGTACCTCACTTGGCATGCCTATTCCCTTAGTAAACATACATATTATTAACGCCTCTTAAACTATATATATATTATATTTGTTGTGGTTGTTTACTCGTGTCCAACTCTTCGTGACCCCATGGACCAGAGCACACCAGGCACTCCGTCTTCATATATATATATATATATATATATGTGTGTGTGTGTGTTATAAAAACATGTTTGTGTGTGTGTGTGTTTGTATATATATATATATATATATATATATATATACACACACACACATATACACATATACAGTGGTACCTCGGGTTACATACGCTTCAGGTTACAGACTCCGCTAAAGTGGTGCTTAGCTAAAGTGGTACCTCAGGTTAAGAACAGTTTCAGGTTAAGAACGGACCTCCGGAACGAATTAAGTTCTTAACCAGAGGTATCACTCTGTGTGTGTGTGTGTGTGTGTGTGTGTGTCTTCATTCACACACACACACGTGTGTATTAATAACTCCTCTTGAACTACACACACACACACACAAAATTAAATAAATATTCTCCTTTAAACCTGCCGTTTATCCACTTCCCACCGAGGCTCATCTTAATACCCTCAAACAGCACCCCCCTTTTCTAACCAATGCAAATATCATTGTCGTTAATGCTTCCCCCTTAAACCGGGCCCCTCACCAACTTCCCATACATCGGGACCAAACCTACTAATACCTTCTCAGAGGGAACCTTTTTGCCCGTTTGCCCAACAGCCACGGGGAGGGGGAGGGGGGAGCGCCCCCATCTAACACTCAGTTAACCCTATAGTCGCCGTTCTCCACGGCGCTCCGACACCGTGGTCACCCGCGATCCAAGAGCATTGCCTGAGGGCCAGAGCTACCGGGGAAGGAGGAGGAGGTCACAGGGAAGCCCTACGCCGGGAACAAGGGGGTGAAGGGAGGCCGTCCCCGCGGGCCCTGCCGCCTGAGGCAGCCGCCTCGCCTCGCCTCAGGGCCGGCCCTGGTCGAGAATAACCGTCGGCGGCCTCGGAAACCGTCGCTTCCCCTCACCGTGTCCGCGCTCCGCCAGCCGCGTTCCCGCTCTTGTCCTCCGGAGCAGCCGAGCACCGTCTGAGAGGAAAAGGCGAAAGACGGGCTCCGCTCGGCCTCCTCGCGCCCGGAGCCCCGCCCACGCCCCGCCTTCTCGGACTGGACCATTGCGTGCCACAGAAAGGGGGGTGCGCGTCTGTGTCCTCATTTTTTGTATATGCGCGCACGTTTATTCGTTTTTTCCCCTCCTCTCGCCTTGCTAGTCGCCTTTATCTGCTCGGCTCGCGTTTCTTCCAGAAAGCGGCCTGGCTTGACTTCTGTCCGCACGCAAAACATACAAACACCCCCCCGAACACCAATGGGCCCGGCCGGGAATAGCCGTCGCGCGCTGCACGAGAGCGCAGAGACATACAGAAAAAAGGGCAGAGTGGCGCGCCGAACCTCAGTTTCTGGGTTCTGTCGGTTGCTTTCTTCCTGCGGGGAGAGCATCATAGCTGTCAACTTTTCCCTTTTATTGCAAGGAATAAGAGAATTTCACTTAAAAGAAGGGAAACGTTGACAGCTATGGAGAGCAGAGCGACGGGCTTTGCAGAGGATGGAGCGCAGGGTTGCAGCAGCCCACGGGGAAGGTCTTGTTTGCAAGAGCCCTGCTTTTCAAATAGGATAATTCCTAGTGAATCTAGACAAAAAGCAGAGACATCACCTTGCCGACAAAGGTCCGTATGTATAGTTAAATACATGGTTTTCCCAGTAGTGATGTATGGAAGTGAGAGCTGGACCATAAAGAAGGTTGATCGCCGAAGAATTGATGCTTTTGAATTATGGTGCTGGAGGAGACTCTTGAGAGTCCCATGGACTGCAAGAAGATCAAACCTCTCCATTCTGAAGGAAATCAGCCCTGAGTGCTCATTGGAAGGACAGATCCTGAAGCTGAGGCTCCAATACTTTGACCACCTCATGAGAAGAGAAGACTCCCTGGAAAAGACCCTGATGTTGGGAAAGATGGAGGGCACAAGGAGAAGGGAACGACAGAGGACGAGATGGTTGGACAGTGTTCTCGAAGCTACCAGCATGAGTTTGAGCAAACTGCGGGAGGCAGTGGAAGACAGGAGTGCCTGGCGTGCTCTGGTCCATGGAGTCATGAAGAGTCGGACACGACTAAATGACTAAACAACAACAACAAAATTCCTACTGAATCGCTCCCTAAGCCAGGGTTTCCCAAACTTGGGTCTCCAGCTGTTTTTGGACTACAGTTTCCATCATCCCTGACCATTGGTCCTGCTAGCTATGGATGATGGGAGTTGCGGTCCAAAAACAGCTGCAGACCCAAGTTTGGGAAACCCTGCCCTAAGCCATTCTAGGGAGCATTTAATGAAGAGGTAAAACGAGAGCTCGCAATATGTACTTTTGTGCTTTTATGCTGCAAACTGGCCTGTGATCCTCAAAGAACGATATATAATAATAATAATAAATTTTATCTATAACCCCGCCCTCCCTGGCCAGAGCCGGGCTGAGGGCGGCTAACACCAGTGAAATTACAGTAAAAACATAATAGGGAAAAAACCCAATTTAAAATACAGGTTAAAATGCAATTTAAAAACAACAACAAGCGTGATTGGAAACAACACACACACACACAGTACTAGCAAAGAGAAAATTCCTGTTCTCTCTCTCTCTCCAGGTCTTATTTCCTATATGAACATTTATTGTACTTACTCAAAAACCTTTAAAAACTTCAATATGTCTGTGTGCAAGTGGCTTGGGCATGGGGCTTGCTGCATCGAAACAGAGGCTGAGAGGCCCTTAAGCAGTTCAAGGTTCTGCTACAATGTGGGATATGTGCAGAGTGTTGGTTTCTGCTTTCCTTCACTGTGCAGCTCTGCTTGTCACGAGACAGGTGTTTACATTCCACAGTCTGTACTGTTGGAGTTTCTCACGGGAAAGGGAGACTGGATGTGACGTACACTGGTTTCCTGTTTTTCACTGTGTGATTCTCTCCGAGCTGTCGAGGAGAGAGGATGCATTTTCTGCTCCGGCAGAGGCAAGATGTCTTTCTGTAATATACCAGCTTTGAACTGTAAATAAAGCAATATAGAGTATGCAGCACATTTTCCTCATCCTTCCGCTGGCAACGAGACTCTGCTTTAAATCAACACGTGGTTATGGGCTCCAGAGGTCGAATCGGAGTGCCGGCAAAGGATCGGAATGCAGAGGGACAGATCGGAACGGAATCTGCTCTGCGCGTAGAAGTGATTGATGAGGTATGTGCTACTGCTCCGGGCAGCCTGCCAGCTTCAAGTTAATGGCTTTATGGCTGGACTTTGAACTTTTAAAGCCGGTTTTGCCGGGAATAGGCAAAAGGCTCCCAGGCACAAGTCACTATGCTGGGGAAATCGAAGTAACTTTTAAGTGTGCCTTTGTAATAAGGCAGCTGCAGCAGTGACGCAGCAAGATTTAAAGCAGCATATGACGCTGAAGGCTAATGCCAGAGTCATGATGGCCCTTCAGGATGCTTGTGGGATTCCTAAGCTCAACAAGAAAAATTACAGCGACTGGGTTCAGTATGCAGAGGCAATTCTGCGGAAAGAGGGTTTGTTTGAGGTGATTACAGGAACCCCCAGTTCCAGTTACAGATGCATGGGAAGCTAAGGATTCCAAAGCAAGGGGAACTCTTACATTGATAGTATCCCCAGAAGAGCTCTGTCTATTGCGTGATAAGACCTCAGCCAGAGAAATTTGGGACGCTTTGAGAGAGGCTCACTTTGTTACTGCCGTGATTTTAAATGAAGCAGATCGCCGGGGTGCTAGCTGCATGGGCAAGGGGGAGTCTTTACAGACGTCATCCCATAGTGCAGTGGAACCACCAGATGGCGCCAAAGCTTTGAAGGCAGTGAAATGCTACTCGTGTGGACGTCTAGGCCATATGAAGAGGGAATGCAGACATCCCAGGGCCAAGACAGAGCAGCGCAGCGAAAGCTCATCGCGCGGAAAAGGCCGAGGCAAAGGCAAAGGTCCGGTGTCTAGGACAACGCAGCACAAGGCTATGGTTTCACGCTCACTCCAAAGGTTGCAGAGGTCCAGAAGACGTCTAGATCTTTCTTCGTTGTTGATTCAGCGGCCACCCACCACATGTGCAATGATAAGAGACTGTTTGTGTCTTTTACACCGCAGGAAGGTGCGATTCACCAGGCGGATGACCACACTATTCCCAGTAAAGGCTACGGAACTGTTGTTCTTCACAGTTTGGACTTATCGATACAGAATGTGCTTTACGTGCCAGACGCCAAACATAATCTGCTCAGCGTTGGACAGCTGAATGAGCGGAACATTGACGTTTCCTTCAAGAACAAGAAGTGCATCATCACAAAGAAAAATGATTATGTATTGCATGCAGAATATGTTGATCATTTGTTTGTTTTGTATTATGATGATGTGGTGCAGGATGACACTTGTTGCATTGCAGGTTCTAACAAAAGTTTGCATGCAGAATGTATTCACGATTTTCATCGAAAATTTGGTCATTTGCATTTTGAGGCAGTATCTAAAATGCCTGCCTTGGTTGAAGGTATGACTATTAAACCCTGCAGGTACCACATGAAGTGCAAAGCATGCGCAGCAAACAAAGTGAAAATGGCTGCGAAAGGTAAGGTGTCTAGTAGGAAAGCTACAGAACCATACCAGGTTGTTCATGCTGATTTGGTTGGACCACTAGCGCCCTCTTTGGGTGGAAATAGATACTTCATGGTTCTCATTGATGCATTTTCTAGATATATTTTTGTGTACAATCTCAAGCAGAAATCGGAGGCTTTTCCTAGGTTCAAGGAATTCTGTGCTTGGTTGGAAAATGTGCATGGTAAGAAGATAAAGACTCTTTTCAGTGATCGCGGGGGAATTCACTTCTCAGCAGTTTGAAGCTTTTCTGACTGAGAAAGGAATTCAACACGATTTGTCTAGTCCTCGCCGCCATGGCAGAATGGACTTGCGGAACGGGCAAATCAGACATTGCTTCAAGGGTTAAAAACCTTGCTGCATGATGCCAATCTTCCAGAGAGTTATTGGGTCGAATCTCTCTCGTGTTTTGTTTACAGTTACAATCGCAGGTTATCTTCAGCGATTGGTTGTACTTCTATGAGAAGATGTTTGGCAAGAAGCCATACATCAAACACATGAAGATTTTTGGTTCTGACATGTGGGTTCGCTCACCACAAAACTCCAAGTTAGACAAGCGTGGATTGCATGGTATCTTTCTAGGTTATCAGAAAGGGTCTTACAGAATAATGATGACTGACTCTAAGACAATTAAGCTCACGAGAAGTGTTGAGTACAATGCAAAGTGGGGGAGAATGTGGAATTTTCCAATGTTATCCTGATGACGGTGATGAGACTGAGGATAGTCAAAGCAACCACAACAGCCCACACCCACTGATGAAGGTTCTGAGTCTGAATCTGAAACTGAATCGGGTGATTCAGAGGATTTCAAGAGTGCGAAAGCCTCTATGCGACCCTCTGAAAGCTCTGATCAAGAATTGGAGGAACCATTGTTCACAATAGGTCGTTTTTCTCCTAAGAAGGAAGAGGAGAGTGTTGAAGACTTAAGGCTAATTCGTAGGTCACAGAGAGCTACAAAAGGCAAACCTCCAAAGAGATTTGCTGATGAGTTTGCTAAGATAGCAGTAACAGCTGTTAAAAGCTCCAAGAAGGTATTTGAACCTTCAAGTTTCCAAGAAATCCAGGGTTTGGATTCAAAGGAAGCTGAGCCATGGTTAAATGCCATGAAGGCTGAGCTTGATTCCTTAGAAAGGAACAAAACATGGGAGCTAGTTCCAGTAGTTCCAGGAATGAAACTGCTTGGAAGCAAATGGGTCTTCAAAGCGAAGACAGATCAAAATGGCAAGATAGTCAGACACAAAGCCAGATTGGTAGCCAGAGGTTTTGCACAGGTACCAGGTGAAGACTATCACGAGACCTATTCACCCACAGTGAGATATGAAAGCATTAGGCTTATGCTTAAGCTAGCTGCAGAGGAAAATCTACACATTAGTCACCATGATATTAATACAGCTTTTCTGTACGGATCTCTAGATGAATCACTTTATATGCTTCCACCTGATGGCGTACAGGTAAAACAGGGATTTGTTTGTGCTCTGAAGAAATCCCTTTATGGTCTCAAACAAAGTGCACGGTGTTGGCACACAAACTCACTGAAGTATTGTTTTCTAGGTTTTCAGCAAGGGAAAGCTGATCCATGTGTATTTGTCAAAGAGGAGGGGCAAAAGAAACTGTACTGTTTGTTTTATGTTGATGATTTATTATTCTTTTGGAAAGATGTTGCAATGTACAATAGCGCCCTAGCTCAACTGAAAGAGCACTTTGACATGAAAGATCTTGGTGAGGTAAACAACTACCTATCTCTGGAAATAGAGAGAGATCAAGATGGTAACATTCTAGTACACCAGTCACGGAAAATTGCTGATGTGTTAAGCAAACTAAATCTGATGGATGCTAACCCTGTAGACACACCGATGACAACAGGTTATCAGGTAGATGACACTGAAGAAGCATTTTCTGACACTACACTGTACAGGAGTGTGCTAGGCAAGCTAAACTTCATTGCCAGATGTTCAAGACCAGACATTGCTGTTAGCTGTAATTTGCTAAGCAGACAAGTCAACAATCCTAGTGTCAAGGATTGGAAAGCTCTGAAACGCATAGCGCGGTATTTGAAAGGCACTATGCATTACAGACTGAGATTTAACAATCAGAAGTCTGGTGGTCTTGAGATATTTGCAGATGCAAGTTTTGGAAGTGACGCTACAGACAGGAAAAGTACGCCTGGAGTTTGCTACATGTACAATCAGAGTCTGTTTGATTGGTCATGCAAGAAGCAAACAACAGTTAGCTTAAGTACTTGTGAAGCTGAACTGAATGCACTGTCTTATTCACTTAAGGATTGTGAATGGTTAGTACAATTGTGCAAAGATATGAAAATTCCTGTCAAATGTCCAATCCAGGTTTACCAGGACAACAAAGCATGTTTGGCTTTGCTGAAGTCTGAAGGTTGTAGGCAAAGCACAAAGCACTTGCAATTAAAGTTGCAGCATGCTAGGGAATGTATTCAGAAGGGACTCGTAACGGTGTCCTATATGCCAGGTAATGAAATTCCTGCTGATGTATTGTCCAAGATTGTATCGAGGGATCAACACTGTACCTATGTGCAGAAGTTGGGTTTGTACTGATATTGTGCAAACACGCTGCCCAGTGATGTTCACAGAAAGGGGAGGATGTTGGTTTCTGCTTTCCTTCACTGTGCAGCTCTGCTTGTCACGAGACAGGTGTTTACATTCCACAGTCTGTACTGTTGGAGTTTCACGGGAAAGGGAGACTGGATGTGACGTACACTGGTTTCCTGTTTTTCACTGTGTGATTCTCTCCGAGCTGTCGAGGAGAGAGGATGCTTTTTCTGCTCCGGCAGAGGCAAGATGTCTTTCTGTAATATACCAGCTTTGAACTGTAAATAAAGCAATATAGAGTATGCAGCACATTTTCCTCATCCTTCCGCTGGGCACGACAGACTCTGCTTTAAATCAACAACCAAGATGATCAAGGGTTCAAAAAGCAAGCCTTATGAGGAACGGTTGAAGGAGCTGGGCATGTTTAGCCTGGGGAAGAGGAGACTGAGAGGAGACATGAAGAGAGGCGATACGATAACCATCTTCAAATATCTCAAGGGCTGTCACATGAAAGATGGAGCAAGGTTACTTTCTCACATTCCAGAGGGACCTGAACAAATGGATTCAAGTTGCAAGAAAGGAGATTCCCACTCAACATCGGGAATAACTTTCTGACAGTAGGAGCTGTTGGGCAGTGGAATGGTCTCCCTCAGGAGGTGGAAGACTCTCCTTTATAAGGTTTATAAGGAGAGGTCACTTGAAATTCCTGCATGGGAGGGGGTTGGACTAGATGACCGCCGGGGTACCTTCCAACTCTACGATTCTATGATGCTATTACAGTGGTACCTCGGGTTACATACGCTTCAGGTTAAACACTCCGCTAACCCAGAAATATTACTTCAGGTTAAGAACTTTGCTTCAGGATAAGAACAGAAATTGGGCTCCGGCGGCGTGGCAGCAGCAGGAGGCCCCATTAGCTAAAGTGGTGCTTCAGGTTAAGAACAGTTTCAGGTTAAGTACGGACCTCCGGAACGAATTAAGTACTTAACCCGAGGTACCACTGTATTTTTATGGTCCGCTCCCCTGAGCACTGGAAGAGATTTACAGTGGTACCTCGGGTTAAGAACTTAATTCGTTCTGGAGGTCCGTTCTTAACCTGGAACTGTTCTGAACCTGAGGTACCACTTTAGCTAATGGGGCCTCCCACTGCTGCCGCCGCATAGTTTCTGTTCTCATCCTGAAGCAAAGTTCTTAACCCGAGGTACTATTTCTGGGTTAGCGGAATCTGTAACCTGAAGCGTATGTAACCTGAAGCGTCTGTAACCCGAGGTACCACTGTATTTTTTATGAATGGCTTGTGCAGTGAAACCTCGGTAACCCTCTATCCACAGCATGGCGTGCTATTCTATAATGTTTCTGTATCTGCAGCTGAGAGATAAGGGGAAACGGACACTTATGTGCGTCATGGGAAAATGACTCCAGGGAAGGAGAGGAGGCGGGAGGAAACTGCCCGGACAGAGAGGCGGTCCCCCCTCTGGGGTTTTCCCTGACGTAGTAGTCGGAGAGAAAAGACGGATGCTGCTTGACACTGACTTAGACCGTGTGGGTCCCACGCTGTGACCCAGCGCAATAAACCACTTAAATGCCTTGTGTGATATTTATTTCTTGCATTGCTAGCCCACCTTTTTTCTCCACGCAGCTCAGCTTTGCAGCTCCTGTTGGCTCTTTCTTTTCCTTTCTTATAATAATTTTTGTTAAGTTTTCCATTTTAACAATCCAATCAGATCACATTAAATATTCCAGATTATACAAATACATACCATAAAGTCCAAATATTTTGCCAAATTATAAATTTTTGTTGGGGCTTCCCATGCTTCAAGTTCAGTGGGGTCCAATCATCTTATGTTTCTACTGCCTTGAGTTTCCAATAGTTCCTTCTTTAAATCTTCCTGTTGTTTTCCTATCCTTCCTTCGCTCCTGTTGGCTCTTTCAACCCTGCCGGCAAGAGATCCTCCTGGCCAGATCCACACCCTGCATATAAAGCACACGACGTCCCCACAAAGAATCGTGGGAACTGTAGTTTCCCTAGCACGCGCTACAATTCCCAGCACCTACACTACAGTTCCCAGGAGTCTTGGTGGCAGCGAGAGTCATGTGTTTTAAATGCCTGCTGTGGATCTGCTCCCTTCTACTAGACGTCCTCCAGCAAGCAAAACAGAGGGTGCAGAAAAGGGGAGGAGGAAATTGGGGGCAGACTTCCTGGGAGGTGCAACATGACAAGGCACCCATCCCTCCTCCTCCTCCTCCCCCCTTGCAGCCCAATCTTTTTCTCCCACCCATGTGGAGCCAGGATCCTTCTCCCACTGTTGTGGGGTGCCTCAGGGTTCCGTCCTCTCCCCCATGCTTTTTAATATCTATATGAAGCCGCTAGGAGAGATCATCAGGGGGTTTGGGCTGGGTGTTCATCAGTATGCAGATGATACCCAGCTCTGCCTCTCTTTTAAATCAGAACCAGTGAAGGTGGTGAAGGTCCTGTGTGAGTGCCTGGAGGCGGTTGGAGGATGGATGGCGGTTAACAGATTGAGGTTGAATCCTGGCAAGACTGAAGTAATGTTCTTGGGGGACAAGGGGTGGGTGGGTGTGGGGGACTCCCTGGCCCTGAATGGGGTAACTGTGCCCCTGAAGGACCAGGTACGCAGCCTGGGAGTCATTTTGGACTCACAGCTGTCCATGGAGGCGCAGGTTAATTCTGTGTCCAGGGCGGCTGTCTACCAGCTCCATCTGGTACGCAGGCTGAGACCCTACCTGCCTGCAGACTGTCTTGCCAGAGTGGCGCATGCTCTAGTTATCTCCCTCTTGGACTACTGCAATGCGCTCTACGTGGGGCTACCTTTGAAGGTGACCCCGAGACTGCAATTAATCCAGAATGTGGCAGCTAGACTGGTGACTGGGAGTGGCCACCGGGACCACATAACACCGGTCCTGAGAGATCTGCATTGGCTCCCAGTACGTTTCCGAGCACAATTCAAAGTGTTGGCGCTGACCTTGAAAGCCCTAAACGGCCTCGGCCCAGTATAACTGAAGGAGCATCTCCACCCCCATCGTTCTGCCCGGACACTGAGGTCCAGCTCTGAGGGCCTTCTGGCGGTTCCCTCACTGCGAGAAGTGAGGTTACAGGGAACCAGACAGAGGACCTTCTCGGTAGTGGCCCCTGCCCTGTGGAACGCCCTCCCTTCAGATGTGATGGAAATAAGTAGCTATCTTATCTTTAAAAGACATCTGAAGGCAGCCCTGTTTAGGGAAGTTTTTAATATTTAATGCTGTGTTGTTTTTAACACTTGATTGGAAGCCGCCCAGAGTGGCTGGGGAAACTCAGCCACATGGGCGGGGTATAAATAAATTTATTATTATTATTATTATTATTATTATTATTATTATTATTAACATGGATGGTTCTATTCACCCTTCTCATTTTTATCCACACGGGAAGCTGCTTATACCAAGTCAGACCATTTTATCCATCTAGCTCAGTACAGTCTACACGGACTGGCAGCAGCTTCCCAGGTTTCCAGGCAGGAGCCTCTCCCAGTCCTACCTGAATAGGTGCCAGCAGGGACTGATGCCAACCTGGACCTTCTGCTTGCAAAGTAAATGCTCTGCCTCTGAGCATAGGTTGGGCTGGGAAGCAGCGACTGCTATGCCACACTGCCTTGTTCTTCTGCTAAATTTCTCCTGTGCAAGTGGCAGACAGCGATTGCGCCACCTTTGGAGTTGAGCCTTTGCGGAAGACCCACATTATTCATAGCTTGAGTTGCGCAAACTGTTCACTGTGAGAAACAAGAAGAAATCTTTCCTGCCTCCTCTTGTGTAGCCTGACCTCTTCCATGAAGCCACTTGTGTTTTCTGAATTAACTAGGTTGAGAATGACAACAGTATTGTCTTTGTTGTTGTTTAGTCATTTAGTTGTGTCCAACCCCATGGACCAGAGCACGCCAGGCCCTCCTGTCTTCCACTGCCTCCCCCAGTTTGGTCAAACTCATGCTGGTAGCTTTGAGAACACTGTCCAACCATCTCGTCCTCCATCGTCCCCTTCTCCTTGTGCCCTCCATCTTTCCCAACATCAGGGTCTTTTCCAGACAGTATTGTCTAGCATTCCCAAATATTCCTTTAATCTGCAGGAGTCGCACAGCGCAAGTGTTGAGACTGTTTTTTATACCCACAAAGTATTTCTACTCTGCTCTTCAGCAGAAAAGACTCCCTAGAGCTTATAGAGAGAAACTTTTAAAAAGAGGCAGCCTTGGTTCTCAGGCTTACAATCTAAACCAGAGGGTCAGCAAACTTTTTCAGCCGGGGGCCGGTCCACTGTCCCTCAGACCTTGTGGGGAGCTGGACTATATTTTTTGGGGGAGGGGATGAACAAATTCCTATGCCCCACAAATAACCCAGAGATGCATTTTAAATAAAAGGACACATTCTACTCATGTAAAAACACACTGACTCCCGGACCATCCCTGGGCCTTAGTTTGCCTAAAGGTAAAGGTAAAGGGACCCCTGACCGTTAGGTCCAGTCGTGACCGACTCTGGGGTTGCGGCGCTCATCTCGCTTTATTGGCCAAGGGAGCCGGCGTACAGCATGACTAAGCCGCTTCTGGCAAACCAGAGCAGCGCACGGAAACGCCGTTTACCTTCCCGCCGGAGCAGTACCTATTTATCTACTTGCACTTAGACGTGCTTTTGAACTGCTAGGTTGGCAGAAGCAGGGACTGAGCAACGGGAGCTCACCCCGTCGCGGGGATTCGAACCGCCGACCTTCTGATCAGCAAGTCCTAGTCTCTGTGGTTTAACCCACAGCGCCACCCGCATCCCTTAGTTTGCCTACCCATGGTCTAAACGACACATCAGACCCTTCTCCGTAATGCTTCAGTTTGGTTATTTTAGCACTTTATGTAGTGATGTGTCTCAAATTTGGCACATTTGTTAATCAGTATTTTTAGCTCTTTTTACGACGTCATATTCGAAGCAACCAAGAAATCCATCGCAGCAAACGATCGTCGGATATTCAAGAGGGAGAGAGGCGGTCAAGATGGCGGCTAGGGAGCGGCAGCCCCACGCTGCTCTCTGAGGCTGCAGACAGTTACAGCTTAATATTGCTCGTTCCAAATGCCCTTGCCGTGCTTTTTAGAGCTTTTTAGAGCTTTTTAGAGATAGTAGCTTTAGAAATAGTAGTTTTATTGCCTGTTAAGCTTTAGCTAACACCGACTTCAACTCCAGCCTGAGTGATTTATTACCTCCTTATCTTAATGGCATTTGGCTGCTGGAGGTTTGCCTACCACAACGAGAGGAAGAGAGAGTACTGAGCTTTACTTACACTTCGGAGTTCCGCGCTGCTGGCGGGGTACAGCGGGGGCAGTGGATTAATGTTGGCACCACCGGAGGGCTTTCAGCACCGTCGGGGAGTGTCGCTGCATGGTCTCTTCAGCGGGTAGGGTGGCGGTTCAGGCCAGGTTGGAATTTGTCGCTCTCCTCCCCTTGGCGTTTCATCTGCCGCGGTCGTTGTGGGTGGTGCCGCTGTGGAAATCTATTTTGTCTGTCCCCCTCTGTCTCTGACCGCTAGATTGTGGACTGTCGGGGGGTCTGGCGCGCGGTGGACCACAGCCACTTCTAA